GGGAAAGAGCTGTTATGATGTGGAACTAATTAGTGTTGTGACTTGTGAGATTTCCCAAATCTGCTATTTATAGAGAGATGTTATGTATGACATATTGATATATGTGTTTAAAAAAAAAAAAAAAAAAAAAAAAAAAAAAAATCTCTATCATTGTGGGACATCTTGTGTTGGTTCCACGAACGTCTATTTCTTTAAAGCTATAATAATTCCACAATTATATATGTTTTCAGTTCAGCCAAAGAATTGGTCATATGTTACCATACCCACACACGGTTAGTGGTGGGTTCAGTTGGTATTTATTTATAAACTATATGTAGAAGTCATAGGATATAGGTAGAAGAACGTTTGAACTTGCTTTGATATGTAAAAGTCATAGGATATATCATTACTAATATAAATCACATTATTATTTTAGGGTGACATGCATATTAATCACATGATTAATTTTTAGTCTATACACTAGTTATTGTCAAATGTAAGCATGAGTAGTGGAAATGGGGCTTGATTAATTTATATATATATATATATTTTTTTTTTTGAAACAATACTAATTTTTATATTTGGAACTTGTTTAAGAGAGAAATTGAATATAAAAAAGAGGGATACGGTTGTTCATTTTTAAAATTAAAAAATAAAAATAAAAACTGAAGCAGTGCTCTCTGTATTACATTGGGAGGAAAAGAATATGTTACATGTTTCTATCACTATAGTTATATGTTTCTATCACTATAGTTATATGTCAACTCTGTTCAATAATGATACTTTTTTTTTTTTTAGAATGTTCAGTAATCAACCCATTAAATCCAATTTTAACTGATATGAACTAATATATATATATATATATTAAAAGTAATTGTATTCCAAATCAAAAAGCACACGCTAATGGTAATAGAGACATAAATGATCTTATAATGTAAAGAAATTTATCTCAATTCCAGACTGGTTCCATCAACAAGTTTTAATACAACGCATAAAGAGATAGAACTTGCGCACCAAATTCCAACGACACAAAAATTTAAAAGGTACACTAACTATGGAACATACACAAGGCTTTTTCGATAACACCTTCGTAACTTAGTACTTCAATTAATCAAGGTCAAGAGACCTGTAGCACAAAGATCACACACAACACTGCAAATATATATACATATTTATTACGAAATTTTTTGTAATAAATTAATAATTAATAACTAAAATTTCGTGGCGAGAAGCGATAAAATAAAATAATTATCTTTTTCATTAATTGCTCTTTTGCTATCTTCATTCTTTTTAATTTTTTTAATTTTTTTTCACGTTTTTAAGGTTTATTTTTTTGGGAGATTTTTATGGTAGATTTTAAAAAAATGAATTATCAAAATTTTTATATTTTTAACCGTTAGATCTATATTAAAACTGTATATTCTACAAATATTTGTAGTTTAATTTAATTTTGATTAAATTTAACGATGAGAAACACACATTATCAGTAAAAAGCTCTATCGTAAAAGTGCTCTTTTTCTTTTTCATTTTTAAGATTTTTAATGTTTTGGGTTGGTAGGATTTTTTTTCCTTATGATTAAAAATTAATAGCTTGGAGAAATGATGCATTTTCACTTTACCATACGTATCATATGGTACTATTGCAGTGACTTTTATTTTATTAGGTCTCGTTCATTTTGTAAATTTAAATTTTTAATTTAAATTGAGATTTAATATTTTTTTAAAATTTTTAACTGTAGCATAAAAAATTAAATATGACATTTTTAGTAAAAATTAACAATGAAATAAATGAATCTTAATATATAGTATTAACTGTCCGTTTTTTGAAAATTTTTAACGGGTCTTAATATATGGTATTGACTGTCCGTACTGACTCTACAATACATTGCAATATGCTGACAGAATTGATCGGGTCGTGACGATATTGTGGTTTTGATCAAGTCGTCTACACGTAGTTGCCTATGAAAGTCAAAAGTCTTCTCTATCAGCCATTTGAGAAAATTAAAATTTAAGAGAAAAGAAAAAGAAAGAAGAAGAAGAAGACGACAAAAGACTTGTTTATTGCCCATTGCCCACGATTCTTCGTTATCTACCATTCAATTTTGGAGTATTAGTTTAGAATCCACTCAATAATTTTATGTTTGTCTTTCATGTAGTATTTAATACATTACTGTCACGATCAGTCTTAAAGAATATTGTAAAAAAAAAAAAGAAAAAAAAAAAAGACAGACAGAGAGCGAAGTGTTGGTTACGTTCATTTCATTTGATCTTAATTAACAATAATAATGCACTAAAGCTTGTATTATTTTTTGGGAATTTTTCTGGTGATTAGCTCCGGTTTGTTAGACCTACTTAGTTTATTGATTTGAGTTTTTAATTTAAATTAAAATAAAAATTTATATAAAATTTTTTTATTTTAACAAAAAATTAAATGTGATTAATTTTTAAAATTTTTTATTACAATAAATTTAAATTAATAAAATAAACAGATTTAATAATTTTAGATATGACGCGGGCAAGTACACGTTTCTAATCTCAAACTGATGTAATCACAAAATGGGACCCACATCTGTCATCTATTTTTTTTTTCCCTTCTCATTTTGGCTTTTGAAATTTCTTTTTTGTTTTTCTTTTAATCACAAAATTCACTCCATCCCCGCAAATGTCCCTTGTCTTCTTCATTTTCTATTTCCCTCCACAAATCCACCGTAACCACTTCTTCTTTGCACTCCTTCTCTTCCTTTTCTTCTTCTCTGTCCATGGCCGCCATACAATCTACGCAAATTTACTTCTCTTGACGTGAATGTGGAGGAATGGAAAAAAGTCTGTCGTGCATGTTCAATCAGAGTAAAATTTTCTGAAGATCTGGATCTAAAACTCTCTGCGTTTTTCTTTGGGGTTTTTATTGCAACTGCCTCCATACTAAAGATGGTTTTCTGTTAAATGTGAGATAGACATATGAAACAAAAGAGGGGTTTTGTTTGTGTTAGAAAAGTTGTACACAATTTCTTCTCCCTAATACTCAATCTGGACTACGAGAAAGGAAGTGTAATTAGAGGGAAGTTATACATTTGATTTGGTGAAGGCAAAATCAAAATTTAACCCCCCCAAAAAAAGGGCAACCCCAAAATAGAGAATATATATATATATATATAATAAAAAGAATGATAAGACTAAAAGGAGGAAAGTTTTTGGGTGTGATCTGAAGGCTCGTTTAATTTATTGATTCGAGTTGAAATGTGATTTTATGTGAAAATTTTTAGTGTTGTAAAAAAAATAGATGCGATTATTTTTTAGAGCTTTTTATTATAGCAAAACTCAAATTATAAATTTGAATTGGTAAAATAAAATGGATCTGAAGTAACAAATAAAACGTGAGGTTTATATATATATATATATATATATATATATATATATGAATGAAATATGGCGAGTTAAAACGGAAATTTACAAAAAGTCATCCACACAAGGCAAATATAACAAAGCTTCATTATTCTTTACCATATTCTCTGTGAAGTATAGTGAAAAGAGGGCAAGAGGAGGAGAGAATAATTATAGGGAATGGATCCAACAGGAATGAAAAATAATTTGTTATTTAAAAAAAAAGGAAATTAAGTATAATAACGTACAAAGGTCCCACTTTTGCATAAGCTTTTAGAGTGATAAACGTAGCGCTCCACGTCATGCGGAGCTCTTTCCGGAGTTAAAAACCAAAGCCTAAGAGCCCGTTTGGTTGGAGGATTCGTTCTCTGATTCGAATCATGATTAATGGTTTGTTACAGTATTTTTTCTCACAAAAATCACACGTAAATAAAAAATGGTTCTAATTCATGAACCAAACGGGCTCTAATATCATTTTCTTTTTTTTTTCCTTTGTAAATCTACCATTAGAATAAGAAGGTCGGCATTAATTCGTCATTAAGGATTGTTGACCATTTTGTTTTTATCTAGGAACCAAGGTTGTTTGTAAATTTAAAGGAATTTATAGTTTTATATATAAGAGAATGAATATTAAGGTGACATTTGGTTGATGAATTCAGAATTATGATTCAGAATTATTTTCAATTTACATATATTTTTTATAAAAAAATACTGTAACGAATTACGAATTATGATTCAAACTATGACATGAATTTACCAACTAAACAGACACGGGCATGTTTTTTTGTCCAAAAAACTCAAAAAAAGATAACTCAAGTTTCAACTTTATTCAAGTTCACGTTCTTTTAAGTTTTAACTTTATTCAATTTTACTCAACTTTATTCAAGTTCTAACTTCAACTCAAGTTATAACTCAAATTCAACTCAAAAACTACATTTAAGTTACACTCTAAAAAAACAATCCCTAAATTTTTTTAGAAATTTGGATTTCTGAAACTCGTTTTATATATCCCAGATGAAAAAGAGGTAATAAGTTGTCAAAGTAAAAAGGTCGTTTTTGTTTGTATTTGCACTTTTCTTGTGTGTTAACATAAAGGACAGGAACGCAGGCAAGATCTTCTCTTACGTACTTCGAACGCAGGATCTTCTCTTACGTGCTTCGAACGCAGGCAAAATCTTCTCTTACGAACAATGTTCTCAGAGTTTTTCTAGTAGGCTAAAAATAGTAGGCCTTTTTAGCGGTACTTTTGACTGTTAAATATAGTACATAAAATGACAGTTTTAAAAAATTATTAAGTAATTTATTTTTTCACATCTTATTAAAAAAACTCTTATATATTTTTAATGTGTGTTTCGTTACACCGATAGAATTATAATGGGAGTAGTATAGAAAAAAGAAAAAAGTTTATGCATTTCTTTCTTTAGAATTCCAACCACTGTATGTAATATGATTATTTTCATTTTGGCGAAATTGCCTTCATCTTTAAAATTTAAATATATATATATAATTATTTGCTAAAACTTGTATGTTAGGAATATAAAATTCTTTAAGAACCAAATACATGTATCAAAATACTTTGTGAAAAATGTTAGTCACACATTTCATTGCTCTCCTTTTCACTCTCTTCTTTCTCCATCCGTCACATTTCATTACAACTATAAAAATAAACCATAATTATAACCATTATTTAACCTCATAATTACTATTATGCCACTAGTTAATATTATAAGATTCCATCATAATATATTACTCGCTTTTTATTTTTATGTATCCTTTTTTTTCTTTTTTAGATGTTTTTTTTTTTTTCTTCCTCTTTAAATATTGATAAACTTCGAACACATTTTTTTTTTTTAAGGAAGAACAAGGAAAATAGCATATTTAGTAAAGTATTTAGTAAATTATAACATATATATTTTTAAAAAATAAGTAGATTATAACATAATATGATACTTTAAATTTTAAACATTATTAAAATATCAAAAATACCCCTAAATCTTTTTTTTTTCATCTCTTTCTTCCCCCCTAAACCTCTATTTTTGTGAAAAGAGTAAATTATAACATTTTTTTAAAATAAGAATATTATATCATATTCTTTTAAAATAAGAAGACTATGGCTGGCACCGGTCCATCGGTGACCGGCGTACGACCGGCTATCACCGACAACTGGTAAATACTGTATTTACCGGTAAATACTATATTTATTGGTCAATATCGTATTTATCATATTTTTTAAAAAATTCAGCGAATTGCTCTAGTGACTAGTAAACACCGTATTTATCATATTTTTTCGAAAATCCGCAACCAACTCTAGTAATTGGTAAATACTATATTTACCGGTAAAAACCCTATTTATCAATTTTTTTTTGAAAATCTGCGACCGGATTTGACGATTTGTAAATACTGTATTTATTGAATTCAAACTTATTAGTGAAGTATTTACTAATAAAAATATCATTTACTAAATTCAAACTCGAATTCAGAAAAGCATTTACCGGTAAATACCCGATTGAGAATTAGATTCAATCTACAATATTTACAAGATTCATAAAAATCACATATCTTAGATTTACACAAAACAAAAAAAAAAAAAAAAACTACCAAAACCTAATATCTCAGAGACTACAAAAATCACACAAAAAAAGCAAAAAGAATTCCAAACTCCTGTAAAAACAACAAACAATCCACATACACCCACATAAACAACAAACAAAATTAAAGTCACTTGCGTACTTGGACAACTGTCTTAGCTTTATTAAGCGACTCCCTAAAGTCTTTCAGCCAAAAAAAAAAAAAGAGAGAGTGACTTCCTAAAGTCACGTTGACTCGGATTTGTCACACTGTGTTATGAGGACGTTGGGGTTCCTAGAAAAATCAGATGAGATGTTTGGCTTCCTAGAAAATATCAAATATCATTGTTGAAATGGATACTTTTGGAATTTGCTACATTTTTGTGTGGACTTGGACTTGTCACACTTAATAGCACGTGTCGATGCTGGAGGAAGACGTTGTGGTGCCTAGAAAATCAGATGAAGATGTTTGGCTTCCTAGAAAATTTTAACAACTCATTATTGAATTGGACTTTTGGAATTAGTTACATTTTTGTTTTTATATTTCTAGTTTGCAAAGAGAATAATCATGATGAACTTGAGAAAAGTTCCCTTGTAAGCAGGAATTTTGGGACCTTTTATTGTTTCAAACAAAGAACTAAGGCCGTTTACCTACTGTGGAAATTGTAGCTTAAAAAAAATATTGGGCGCACATAAATACAAGTGTGAAAACGGTGCGTTGCACTCTTTCGTAGAAAGTCACAACTTACAAAGGGCGGCCTTTCTACGCGGCTTGACTCTTCCAAACAAGCGCGACGCGTTATTTAGTACTTCAGAAGCTCTTTTTTTTTTTTTTTTTTTTTTTTTTTTTTTTTTTTTTTTCTAATTTTTACCATGAAAGGGGAAGAGCATGGCAAATTTTTATTACTATAGTCTTGTGTTTTCTTTTAGCTATGATTGAGATGTCTCTTTTGAATAAACGTGTTTACACGTCTTTGCATGATTAAAAAAGTGAAAAGATTTTCATAGCTTTAACCAAAGAAGAAATTAATAGAAATATCGTACATTAGATACTAAGGCTTAAACATATGGGGCCGGGAAAAGTATCATTTTTTCGTTATACCTAAAAGCTTAAACATGACTTTTTCCCCTTCAAAGAAAACCACCTTTGATTTTCCTTTTTGATGGCACATAATAATCACTTTTGGTTATATATAGAAGACTTCAATTATTTGGAGTGCTGCTATGTCTTTGCGGAGTGAAAAGGACGACATTTCTTTTGTTTTTATTTATTATATTACATGTAAATTAGAATAAAAAAAAAGTAGGGAGTGCGTGGCTAAAATAGTAATTAATTGTACAGTAAATTGTTTAATAATAGCTATTGTTTATGTAACACGTCCTAACAAAACGAGATTTTAAACATTTTAGTGTAACTTTTTAAAAATTTATAGACAAAGTGTTACAATAGTATAATTCAGGAGAGTTTTTGTAATTAATATTTTAATTATGTACAAGAATACTTTATCACGTGCAATTGACCCTAGAGAGTAGAAACATCACGATGGTAGAACTTGACTTGGACTAAACTTTGTAGTCGCTCCATAATGCGAAAGCTAAATTAAGTCTAACTTTTCAACTTGAAATATTTCCAGGAAAAAGTTTAAAAGAGGGAAACCCTTTTCTACTTGAATCATGATTGGATATTCTGGTATTTTACAATTAGAAAGCTTAGCATGATGAAAAATAAATTTAAAAGCGAACAGAAAAAGTTGTGGATGTAAATATGCTCCGAAATATTATTATTTTTTTTTTTTTAAAAGCGAACAGAAAAAGTTGTGGATGTAAATATGCTCCGAAATATTATTTTTTTTTTTAAAAAAAAAAAACGTGTGAAAGGTGTGACCATTCAATTTAATTATATATTTTAGAATTGGACGAATTTTTTTGTAATCAAACTTCAAAATAATTTTCCCTTAAAAAAAAATTCAAAGTAATTACTTCACTTTCAGGTGATGCTATCAGGATGACGAGGTTCTTGTGTATCCAGAAGTTCCATAGAAAGCCAAAGGGATTGGAACAACTTTGCCTAGATAATTCAATGTGAACACAATTAGAAAAATGAAGAGTGATTTGACACATCTCTATTCTCTTGCATAAAATAATGTTCTTAATTTATTAGTTATATTAGTACTTGTCCCCTAATTAAGTACTTGTCCCCTTGTCGTTGTAGAAGATTTTCTCAACTCCTCCCTAACACCAAGGGTTAAAACTTAAAATTTAAGGATACATATACGAGTGGTTGGGAAGTTCATTTAGCCTTACAATTGGTTTCAGAAGGGATTTAATGAGAGTAACACTGCTCACTATAAACTTGCCCTCTTGTCCTAGTATAGCTTTTGGCTTTATGATCATCACACACTAATCCTCATATCCTCTTTCAAAATAATGAATAAAATAAAATAGTAAAAATAATAAAAAAAAAAGAAATGAAAAAAGTTGCTATAGCTAGCTTAACTATGAGTCCAAGCACGCACCCCGCCCATAGCCTAAAGAAAGCTAAAATCTCTCTCACATCATCAACAATTTCTCTGACGACCATATTGTTATAATTTGTCTCTTCATGATGGATATTATGACGCTCGGTACCATGACCAATTGGCATTTGAGGACGACGAGAAATCCTAGTACTCTGTAATGTAGTTTCTTGATCAGGAGGAGATAATTTAGAGGTGAAAGCGTCCTTGAGAGTAACATTTTTATTGCTAGTACACGTTGATGTCGTTCGTTGATGATCAAGAAGAGGATAGGTGGTGAAGGGGTCGGCCTTGAGAGTAACGTCTTTGTTACTTGTACATGTTAACGTCGTTCCTTGATGATCAGGAGACAACTTGGGGGCAATTTTGTTACTAATATTACTACTCGTTGATGTAGTTCCATGATGATCAAGAGAAGACTTGGGGGTGTAGGGGTCATCCTTGAGAGTAACACTTTTGCTACTAATATTACTACCCGTTGATGTCGTTTCTTGATGAGCAAGAGAGAACTTGGAGGGGCGGTGTTCAGCCTCAACTTCAAGAGTAGACTCTTTGTTGCTTTGGATAACACCACTACAGTCTCTGTGTCTCCTATTGTGGTTACTATTTCCAGAAACAGTAGTGATACTAGATGTCGTTTTTCGGCAATCAAGATAAAATTTGAAGGTGAAAGGGTCCTCGAGAGGGAACTTCTTGTTGCCCTCAATAAAACCGCCTCTCTTATGATGGTAGCCGGGATAGTTTTGTTTCACAAACTCAACTTTCTCTTTCAAAACAAAACCTGCCCTTTGAGCTTGCTTTTCCACTTCCCATAAGTTGTAAGGGTAGTCATCCCTATGCGTGACATGAACCTCCCCATCTTCTTTCACCATTCCACTCGCACTTCCAAAGAATGCTCTTAGTAAATTCTTGTGTCTCCTGTTTTGCAATGGAACATGTGTCGCCAGTTTTAGTAAATTTCGTATCTGTTGATAGGAAATTTGTTCGGCTGACCCTTGTGAGAAAATGTGCTAAAAACACTATAAGAATATAAAGAATTTACCTTCTAAAATCTTCCATTTAGGATCATGAAAGTTCAAAAAATAAAATAAAATAAAATAAAAGAAAGGGAAATAGGGGATAATTTTCTCATTAAATTCAAATATTTGTACTTGCTACTTAAAAATAGGGGATTAATCCTACTTATCAGAAGTCCTATTAAGTCCAATTCTTTGGCAAAAAACGCCCGTGTTCTCTCTGTATTTCCTCCTCAATTGGGTGAATTCCCCCAAACACCATATAGTGGTAGTCTTCACATAACGGGTGAATTGACCACTCTAAATTCTCCGTGTAATTGTTTTATATTTTATGTTCATTATTTACGATTTATATGTGAGAGATAAATATACATATTCTCTTGAGAGTACTCTTTAACCACGAGCACGAGCATGTGATCACATGTAATGAAAATTAGTCTTCATTACCAAAGCAGAGCTAAATGCGAGTAAAGAGTGTATAGAATGGTTAATTAGTGCCAAGTAAGAAAACACAACTTTAAAGGGATAAATGCCAAGTAAGCGTAAAGCTATTATTAACCTTTTTCACAATTACAAAAAAAAAATAAAAATAAAAATCGACCACTATTTCATCATATGTACGTAATACACATATTTTTTCTTTCCAAATTAGTAATATTTGTAAGGCAAATTAATAGGAAGAAGTGGTACATTAAAAAAAAAAAAAAAAAAAAGGGAGAAAGGGAGGTTCTTACTCTATAAGAATGCCGTCTGTCTCGCATAGCCAAGAGACATGACCAGCATGGGGAAAGTTGAAGATGATAACATCAAATTTCAGGCTTTTTAGCTTCCGATGTCTGTTCATGTCATGCACATCTACTTCATGCAGCACTAGGCACCCTCTTTTCTTCAAGTCCACCAAATGCTCTTCACAGCTCCCATACTTTCTCAACAAAGTCTCTGAGAGAACGATCCAAAAATACATAGAAATTATATATATATATATGTATGTATGTATACAGATTAGGAAAACATATATATGGAATTCAAATATTATAAGGTAAAATATTCATCTAAACTTTTAGGCTTTTTTGTACCATTGTCGACCCCTGCGCAATGTGTTCCCTTGAACCTTTTTTGGGTCGTTAATTAAGGGTATGAGTGGTCATGTTTATTTGATCTTAACCCGAAATCATTTTTAAAACAAAGTTAATTCAAAATTTTATATTTTAATAAGTCATAATTAATTACATGCTGTAACCTGAATAAATTTTGGACTAGATGCAAATGATCCTTCATGCCATTAATTAATGACCAATATGCAGGGACAAGGATGTACGTAAATAAGCCAAATTCACACTATAATTTGAAATTTGAAAATTATGTAGTTATGTACCTTCAGAATCCAAAGAAGTGGCGACCATGTTGACCGCGGAGCCAAACGCTGTAGCTAAACACGCAGAAAATGAAAAGTCACCCTCCCCAACCAGCAGTATCTCCTGAGAGCTGCTATAATGTTCTATCCTCATTATTAGTTTCTCTTTTGTTTTTTCTGCAAAATTTGTATCGTTCAACAATGTATTTACCAAACTATAAAAGAATGTAATAGGAAAGGTAATACAATTAGAAAAAAAAAATAAAAAATAAAAACAAAATACAAGTAAAAATTAAAGACTTACTGGCTTGAAAAGATGGAGAAGCTGAGCTTTTAGTGCCGAAAAGAGAAGAGGAAGAAGAAGAAAAAGAAGAAGAAGAAGAGAAAAACGTTTGATTGCAATGAAAATGAATATTGGAAAATGGTCTGAAAGACAAGCTTGATTGGAACAAATTAATAAGAATCAATGCTTCCTGTTGAAGGAAAGAAATTGATTTAATTGGACGAACCAAAGTTCCAAAAAATAAAGTCAAATTCTTTTTCTTTTTCTTTTTCTTTTTCTTTTTCTTTTTCTTTTTCTTTTTCTTTTTCCTAAGAATAAAGTTTCATTAGGCACTAATTCTGACATTTAATCTCCTTAGCCAAATCGAATGAAGAATCATGTGAAAAACGTCGTATCCTTTCGGAGGATCGTTCAAAACGAAATGTCTTTGCACCAGTTTCACATTCCTCCTCAAATTTTCATACTGAACTAGGGAAATTCCCAACAAGATCTCCTTCAACTTTGGAATCTCCTCCACCGAAACCGAGACCGCGAACGATTCCCAGTTCAGAACGTCGCTGAAAGGGGGGACATATTGCTGCGAGATCAGCACGGGGACGCATTCGGCGTAGATCGCCTCCACAACTCTGGGGCTTGCGACCTCGTGGCCGCTGGGGCAAAGGCAGAACCTGCTCGTCCTCAGCATCTTTTCATAGGAGATTTCTTTGGGGAGAGTTTCGTAGACTTTGACATCTCTGTCTTTTTCTTTCCAGTGGTGGAATAGAACCTGGCGGATTCGGCCGTGGCGTTGGCCGGCGAAGAAGGCGAGGGTTTTGCGGTCAGAGAGGGGGGAGCCGCCGGTGAGGGAGGAGATTTGGCCCGTCTTGAGGTTGATTTCGGGGAAGGAGGCGTCTTTCTTGGGGTTGAAGTGCTCGGACGTGTTGGCGTTGCATAGGACTCTTATTGAGTTGTAGTAGAGTTGTGGGACGTACCATGTTGCTCTTGGACCCTGCAATTGAAGAGTAGGGAATTATATGGTGTTCTTAGAAAGAATCACACATTTTTTTTTTCCCCCCCTAATAAGCACAAGTAGGAGGTATAACATACATTTATCGGTGAAAAAGAAATTCATTGTTGTTGTTGCACCTTTCTAACAACGTAGTAACATAGAAACCGTCGTGTTATGTTTTTCACTTAGCGAAGCACCACGACTGTCGCTTTTGCCGAACTATAAAACTAAGAATTTAGGACATATTCATAACCCATACATCATCAAAAGAAAAGGAATGGTGAATGTGTCTCTGTTTCCTTTCATTCATGTATTTACCTCCTAAATTAGGAATGTAAACCTTACTCCTAATGAGTAGATCTGCACTTGATTTTCTTTTCTATTCGTCTTCTTTCGATCTAAATCTTTTAACTTTCAAATTACAGTTCATGACAAATTAGTGAAAATGCGGTTAGCCTTAGAGTTAACTGTTGATTAGAGTGGCTTAGGTTCATGTGTTCTCATGCTAATCAACGGTTATGTAAGGACAGTACCATGTAGCTTTTGAAGTTAAACTAGATTAGTTGCTTAAAGAAAAAAATTAAAAATTAAAAGAAAAACCTTGGGATACTTATAACTTCTTTAAGATTTGTATGTCTATAAGTGGCTAGCCTATTGTAGACGTACTAGAAGTTTTAGTTATGATTCATTACTTGGGAAACCATAGTAAGACTGCTGTTTCCTTAACAGAGGAATTACTAATCAATAGAAATTAGAAAAAAAAAAAAAAAAAAAAAAAAAAAAAAAAAAAAAAAAAAACAGAGGAATTAGCAGTATTCTGCCAACAAAAAAGAGCAGAGGAATTTATATATTAAGGATTTTGTAAAAACACGCGTCATAATAATAAGTCATTACTAGATAAAGCATAGAAATTACCCAGTCATGGCAAGATAGCATGAAATGGTCAGCACCAAGGCTTCTATTCCAATGAGGGTACTTGTGAGAAATAGTTTGGACATAGTCAACGACAGTGCGTTGAAGGACAGCTTTGTCACGGATAATGGGATCAAATAGGTATTTCACCATCATCACCACACTAAAGGGAAGGAAATAAACATGGGCTTCATCGGGATCCCAAGTCCTGAAATGAATATCAGTTTCCATAAAGCTAAGGAACATTCCTTCCGTGGAATATATGCTCTTGCAAGGACCATTGTGAAATATTGGTGGCTCTCCTTCTTCATACACAAATATCCTAAACACTCTCTCCATTAGAAGATAACTCCTGCAAGAATATTAATTGAAGTAAACTTATTAACCCAGAGATTATGAAAACTATGTTGGAAAAAAGATTTTTTTTTTTTTAAAAAAAAAAAAAAAAAAAAAAAAAAAAAAGAAGCGAAAGACAGCGAAAAATAATGGTTCCATGGTAGTTCTGAAAAGAATGGAAAGTCGTGGCGCGAAAGACGCTGTCGATAAGAGAAGATTCCGCCCCTCTCATATGAACACGCCCGATTGATCAGTCGATTTTCCAGATTTTTGCAATTGGATTTAAAGAAAAACCCGAATTTTCGTGAATGCACAAGCACTGTCCCTTTTCCCCTTGTGTGATTGTGTTTACTCTAGGAAAGTGCAAAACAATGTAAACCATTTTTTTTTCCCCTTCAATCTCCCTTTTCATTCGAGACAATGCCATTTAGAAAAAAACCCCACAAAACCCAATACCCTTTGTTTGTATTTTGAAATTCATCTAAAGTATGCTACAAATGTAACTGATGCCTTAGCAGGAAAAGGATGAAAAAGATAAATCTTGAAACATGAAGTTCATTATTACCAATATAACTGATGCCTTAGCAGAAAAACAATGAAATTGAAAGATATAGATTCTTGGAACAAGAAGTTCATTAATTACCAATGGAAGGCATAAGCATTCTTGTAAACTTCTCCTTGTGGAACATAATCTGCATCTTCAAGAAAAGATTTCTTTGTCTGGTTCACTTTCTTCGTTGCTTCTCTTATCAATGCTCTAGCTGTGGCAAGATCAGCTTCAAGCTTCGCCAGCTTCTCATCTCTATGCTTTGGCATATTAGAAATAGACTCATGATCCCTTTTCCTTCTTTGTTCCTTCACAAATCAACCAAAAAAAAAAGTGCAAAAAAGAAAAAAATTACAAAAAGCTGTAAACGATAATAACCAAATCATCTGTCAAACGTCAAAAGATAGAGAAATAATACCTTGTATGAAGAAAAATCTGGACTTGTATGATCACTAGTCCATGCCAATGGAGTTGTTGTGGGGATAATAAACCATGAAATTCCTTTGTAATAACCCTTTGAAACGAGAATTGCAGAGACTAAAAACAAGGAAGCCATTGCGAAAACAACCGCATTTGGAGAGCTTCTGTTGAATTCTTTCATCTTCTTCTCTATGATCTCTTAGTTCAAGAATTTATTTATTTATTTTTGTGAGAGAGAAGTACGTGTAGAATCTCGAGTTCTTTACAGTGAACTACTTAATCCAATATAATATTCATACGGCTTCTAAAGTTGCGGTTGAACCGTTTCTTAACAGAAAATATCGTGCATGTGTCAGGGAACTATATGAACTGTTGAAGTAAGTACAGTGACGATGTGAACGTACGGTTGGAAAGTCGGTTAGGGAAAGGTGTAGGGATTCTAGAGGTGGGACCCAAAAGAAATGGTATTTGCTAAAATATTTAACGGGGCCTTCTGGTTCTCCTTTTTATTATTTTATTTTATGTTTTTGCTAAATTGTCATCCAATCCAACATAAGAAAAGTTCTCTCTTTGTTTCATTGTACTTTAGGAGCATTCTACGTTATTTTAAACATATTTTAGTAGCTTAAATTTTTTTTTTTAATCATTTTAGGGATATTCTTATAAACTTTATGGTCAGCCGGTGTTACTGTAATTATTAAGTTTAATCAAAGAGACCTCTCTGCTCCGCTACTGAATTCAAGAGCTGTCCGTATAAAAAAGGAAATGTGGAATATTATTATACATTTTTCTTTTTACTTTTTCCTTTTTCCTACACTGATGGAGCCATGGAGGTATAATTTCTAATCACCAAACAAATTGAGAAACTCAATATCACACCTGATGGCATGCTATAGGTAGATCATATGCTAACATATTAATATTTTATTATAGGCAGCATTTATAGAAGCAATGACTCTTGCCCCAACATCTATATTCTCTATCTTTTTGGGTTCCCGCATGTAAGTTTGTGCACTTATCAAATTTTTATTTTCTTTTATACCCTTGTGTTTGAGTCATGGTGCTAAATAGATTACTCAAAATGTTCAAAAGAAGAAAAAAAAAAAAAAAAAAAGGCACTAGTTTATTGCTTCATAAAACCTGAAAGGCATAATATATGGCAAACAGGAATTACACATGCCTTGCACATGATCAAATGAGAGTCCACTAAAATTGATAAACTAGAAGATTTTGGTCACATTAGGGGACTAAACATTTTCACTTTAGTATTTTAAACACTAGTATACCATGTTTTATGCATCACAGATATTGTCTTTTCGAAATAAAGTTCAAACTCCTCTTCTTTTGATTTGCTTTCTTTGGGACTTTTTTTTTTTTTTTTTGTCGGAATTTTTCTGTTGGACAATTAACTCCATCGTTGGAGAATTTGGTTAACTGCCTTGTTGATTTACTAGTGCAGGGATGTTCTCTATACACGGATTTGGACTCCAATTTATACACTTTTACTTGTTTTTTCGTTTCCTTTAAGTTTAGAGGTTGTACAACTAACATTTAGTTGCTTTCCATATTTTAGCCTTTTGATGGGATCAACTAGCTAGAACTCTATTGAACTACTTACATCATATGTTTGTTGAATGTTTCAATGGTAAAGTTTTTAATCATTCTCAGAGTACTCTTCATTTTTGTCATTTCAATTATGGTCATTTGAGGCTAGATCAACTGATTAGATGTAGGAGTATGTGTGTGTGTCCATCAGGATTCGAAGCTTGATGGTGGTTTTATTGTGTGCATGCATCTACCTGGGTTACAGTCCTAATGATTTCATTTCTTGTTAGTAAAGTGGGAGTCATAGCTCCACACTATATCTAGATTTTAAAAAAAAAAAAAAAAAAAAAAAAAAAAAAAAAAGTAGGGAAACGTCAAAAGCTTCATGAAAAATTACTAAGCAACAAGATATTTCTGGGTATATGATTTCCAGAAAGCAATGATCTAATTAGTTTTCATTTACATGTCCAGATAAATTTTCATATGCACATGCAAAATAGAAATGCTATGCTTTCAGTTGCTATTGATTGGTAAATATATTGAACGAGTACTTCATGCGTATAGAGTATAGCTGTAACTAATAATTAATGCATTCATGAGTCTTTAACACTCAACAACTTCCAGTATACTCCATTGTTCTTCAAAAGATAAGGATCGATACATATTACCATAACACAAGAATAATTAAACGCTTATTCTCCAAAGGGAAGGGAAAAAAAAAAAAAAAAAAAAACACTGAAAACGTTATAGCTAGCAATTAGTCCAAACACACACCACACAAATCCTCTAAAGACATTTAAAGTCCCTCTCAATCTCGTCAGTGTCGTTTCTTGATTATCACAGGCATACTAGGCATTTGATGGTTGGGCCAAATTGCCGTTTGATGATCCGACTCAGCACTAGGACTCCTGAATTTTGTGTCAAAACCACTAGGCATTTGATGATTAGACTCGGTACTTGTACTGAATAATTTCATTTCTTGATGCCAACACTAGGCATTTGTTCACGATCAGATGAAATGAGAATTTGGTGATCGGCATCAATCTTACTAGAACTGATCATCAATGTCGTAGCATGAGGATCATCAACACTAGACATTTGATCGCATTCAGATAAAACAGGTAAGGCATGCATTTTGATCATCGTCAAATAAAACATGCATTTGATCATGGTCAGATAAGGCATGCATTTGATCATCAGACTCAGTCTTAGAACTGATCAATGCCGTTTCAAGAGGACCACCAGCACTACGAATTTGATCATCGTTAGATAATACATGCATTTGATCATGGACAGATTTAGCAGGCATTTGATTATCAGATTCAGTCTTAGAACTGATTAATGTCGTTTCATTAGGATCACCGACACTAGGCATTTGATCGTGGTCTGAAAAAACTGGTATTTGATCATGGCCAGACAAAGTAGGCATTTGATCATGATTAGACTCGGTCTTGGAACTGATCAATATCGTTTCATGGGGATCGCCAACATTAGGCGTTTGATCATGGTCAGATTTAGCAGGCATTTGATCATCAGACTTGGTCTTAGAAATGATAAATATCGTTTCATGAGGATCACCAACCCTCTGCATTTGATCATGGTCAGATGAAACAGGGATTTGATGATCAGACTCAGTCTCAGAGCTGACCAATGTTGTTACATGAGGATCACCAACACTAGGCGTTTGATGGTCAGATAATTCAGGCATCTGATTATCCGACTTGATCATAGAGCTGATCAATGTCGTTTCTTGATGCGTACCTGCAATCATTTGAAGATCTGAAGTAGCACTACGAGTAGTGATCGGCGTCGTTTCTTGATGATGATCATGAGCATCAATGAGCTTGAAGGTGAAGGGGTTCTCAATGGGGAACTTTTTGTTGCCGTCTATAAATACTGCCTCTCTTATTGTGGTAGCCAGGATACCGCTCTTTAATAAATGCCATTTTCTCTTTCAAAACCAAACCTGCCTTTTGGGCTTGCTTTTCCACTTCCCATTGATTATAAGGATGGTCATCCCTATGCGTAACGTGAATCTCCCCACCTTCATTCAGCATTTGAAGTGCACTTTCAAAGAATCCTCTTAGCAAATTCTTGTGTCTCCTATTCAATATTTGCAATCCCAATAAGCGATGATCAACATAACAACATTATGCGCATACTAATAGTAAAATCGATCTTAGTTGTAGCTTTAGAAGGTAGAATATTACCCATTACACAATATTTTTCTAGGATCAAACTAGCTCTTTGTTACAATTTATCATCATTCGTTTTTATTTGGAGTTGAATATATATTTAACACTTTTTCCTCCTGCAAATCGAAAAATGACAACTCACCTATCACATCAATTATGCCACTAAATTGTTAGTATTACTCTTCACTTAGACAACCAATGAATTTTCACTACATAAACCTAATTAGGATCTTGGGAGTGGATATGAAAATTGTCTAGATCAGATTAATATTAGTACCCAATATGAACCAGCAATGAATATCCTCATCATAATATACACATTTAAATCGATCCATTAATCCAATCCAACGGTCAACAACAAGGTTAGTTCAACGCCAATTCAATTAAATATTGCACAATTCTATTTATATCTACCAATGAAAAAATTAATCATGAGAGAAAATCAAAGCGTGAGAGACTACATATTCATGCTATTGAGGCATTCTTACTCTATGAGGATTGCGTCTTGTTCACATAGCCACGAGACGTGACCAGCATGGGGAAAGTTAAAAACGATGATATCAAATTTCATGTCTTTAAGTGTGGGATGCTGGTTCATGTCGTGCACGTCAATCTCATGCAAAAGCAAGCGCCCTCTTTTCTGCAAGTCATCCAAATGCGCCACACAGCTCCAATGCTTTCTCAATAACGTCTCTGAAAGACCAACGATCCACATCTATTAATCAACTTAATCAATTTATGCATGTCATATATATATCACGCTACACTATCAAATTTCTATTTTTGATGTGTAAACACCAATAAAAACGTAACTAACCTATATATATATATATATATATAAAGCTTATAATAAAACCTTTTGGGACATATTTTGTCATGAGTAGTAGCTAGACTTGAATTGTGTGACTGGAGAACAAAAAATCTTTGTAAGTGGAAGTTCGCCACAGAAAAGTTTACTTATGGCTTAAAGCATCTATATATTCCGTCATTATAATATAATAGTTGTAATTGAAAGTATTTTGGTAACTAGTTCACGGGCTGTGACGTTACATATATAATAATTACAGAGCCTATATACCTATATGAAAAATAATTATATATACCTTCAGAATCCAAAGAAGTGGCGACCATGTTATGGGCAGAGCCGAAGGCTCTTGCTAAGCAAGCAGAAAAGGAAAAGTCGCCTTCCCCAACCAACAATATCATCTGAGAACTGCGGTAGTGTTGTATCCATCTCTCTTTCTTACTCATGATATAGTTTCTCTCTCTTACTCTACAAAACTGATTCCAGTCCTCTAATAAATAGGTATTGTTGACGGACGAATTTCGCCAACAAAAACCGGCTGGGTTACCTCTTAGTTTTCTTTTGGATTACCGACCAGTGTGTAGTTAACGTATGAGGATTTGTTGAATATGTGTGTTAACTAAATCATGCATAAACAAATGACACAAGGAATTTTATAGTGGTTTACTCTATAAAATGAGAGCTACATCCACTGTGATTTTGCATTTTTTTTGAGAAGATAATGATTTACAGCAATTGCTCTCATTAAATCTCTTTTCTCTTTGCTGGAATTTCTGAACCCCTTCCTTACTGGGGGTCTTCCTCCTTTTATACTGGGCTTCCTTCGCTTAGGGGGTTTCCTTCATAGGTGGAAGCACTCAAGTGCTCTTCCTTGGTAGGCCCAGACGTAGCCCACTAATCAGCACTGTTCACTCAGCCAATTAGTCTTCTATTACGGTTCTGTGCTTCTCCATAATACTTTTCTATCCCCTGTGGGGCGGTTTGGGAGCTTGTAATTAATGCATGCAGACGTCTTTCACTTTTGCACGCAACCCGTCACATCCTCTAAAGAACGTTCCCCTCGTCGTCAATGCTGCTTAGCCCAATCGCCCTATTTGGCGGTCCTTTCTGCGGCCGAGGGATCTTCGTGCCTCAATCTTGACGGCACGATCTGTCGACGTCATAAGGGATCGTCGCCCTAATTTGGACTTTGTGCTTTGGGCTTTCCAGCGGAATAGGAGGGGTCTGTAGACATCGAGGGTTTTTGCTTGGTGGGGAGTAGTCAAGGCCATGAGTCGCATTATCGTTCGTCTATGTGTCCGTCACATTTTCTAAAAAACAGCTACCCCCTAGGTCGAGGGCTCCTTTTAGGTAGCCTCGGACTTAGGTTCGGTTGTCCTTCCGTGCTTTGGGTGTGGGAAACTGGTCCTGAGCCTTCATTCGCAATGATAGCTTGGGCGCTTCAGATTTCCTTCGGGGGATGCAACTGTCGCGTCGATTGATTCCTCATGATGACGTACGGCCTTATTTCGAAAGGACGAATATGGACCCTTGGATTGCGACCTCTCCGCTTCCTGCCCTATGTTATCATCGTCAGATCCGGGCAGGATTCCCTTGCCGTTGGATTTTAAAATCCTCATCCAACGGTCAGGGTCGAGGATGTCCGTTCCTTTAAATACCCTTTACGAACTCGAGAGCCATTTTTTCAAAACTTCAAACTCTCTTCGCACCTGTTGGACTGCCGCCTTCTTCACCGGAATCCTTCCTCTCCAACCTCCGGTTCGTGCTTCTTGCTCTTCGAGGCGTATCGCGAAGCCATTCTTTCTTCAAGACTTTCCCGAGAATCCTTCTTCACCGGTAAGCCTTTCCACCCTCTGTCTGCTTTTTTTACTCACGGGCTCCTCCTATCCTTTTTGTTTGAACCATGTGTATATGTATAAAGAGTGTACGGAATGTAGAAGTTAGGGAGACTTACTGCGTTTTGTTTTTCCGCATTGGATAGTTCTGTCCCCATCTCTTTGTTGTCTGTGCGCTTCTGGTTTCTGGGTTCTGGGGAACCTGAAATCCTATGAGCACTCGCTCTTACCATTCCCATATGAATGGTCAACGTCAAGTCGAGGCGTTTGAGTAGTCATCGCTTAGAATAGCCATCCTTTCTTCCTCTCGACGTTAGGATTTTAACTTAGCTTCTTGTCTTTTTAATCACCAGAACAATGGCCCAAAGTTCTCCCAGTCGAGAGGATTCTCCTGTCGTCCGTCCAGACCCCCATTCTGTGGTGGAGATCTCATGGTCTTCTTCGTCTTCCAACGTCGACTCCGTGCTGAGAGACATAGAAGATGTCGGGGCTGGATATGAAGCCAGATACGTACTAGGCGACAGCTTTGGTAGTGAATTTGACAACTTAGAGCGGATATTGGACGAGGCAGTAGAACGGATCCCCTTCACGGGGGGCAGTGTAGGCAGGGGGGCTGCCTCGACGGTAGATGCCCCCTAGCCGCCACAAGTGATCCGGATAGGCCCTTTTTTACCGCCGATGTGGTGGCGTCGAGGGTCCGGAATAAAGATATCATCCGGGCTGTAAAGGAGGGGTGCATTGACGGGAGGTGGTTTGAATACCTCCTCCTGGGCATGCATTTTAGGACTAGCATGCCGCCGACAGGGCACCTCCCGGTTTACACCAGAGCCGTTACGGCGGGGATGGCCCTCCCAGTTCATCCTTTCGTAAAGGACTATTGCCATTTTTATGGCATTTCCCCTGCTTAACTGGCGCCGAACTTTTGGTACTGCTTCGCTGGCGCCTGGATTTTGTGGCACCAAAAGTTTGATATGGAACTCCCTGTAGACGAGTTCCGGTTTATGTACAAATTATGCCACGTCGCCAAGTGCGAAGGGTGGTACTTTCTAAGCGGACATGGGAGATCTCAGCCAAGATTCGGAAAGTTGATACTGGGGATTCCCTCGTCGTCACATGGGTGGAAACCCATGTTTTTCATGATCTGTGGGCCTTTCAATTTTCACCCTAACGACTGCCTGCCACGCCGAAGGCAGGTGCAGGCGGCGTTTGGGAACATGGGTGAGGATTTTGGCTTTCCTTTACCTTACTTCGCCTCTTTCTGTTCATATGCTGATAATCTTCTATCCTTCAGTTAACCAGGACCGGCCGAAGTTTTCTGGCAACAGCTTAGAGAGGATTGAAAAGGCTTTCTCTTATTCGTCAGAGGTTCGCCATATCGAAACGCTTCTGACCAAGAAAAACCTTCGCGACGCCGGTTTAATCCTTGATCTCCCAGACCCCGCCGATTTAGACGCCGTCCGTCAATACTTTCACCTAAACGATGAAGGTATTTTTTACTTTCGACGCCATTCTTTATTGTGACTTGGGTTTTTCAACTGCTGACTATATCTTAATCTCGTCGTTTCTTGTAGAAATGGCGTCTTTGAGTATCCAACTCCCTGGCAGCCAGCAATCCGGGCCGAGCCAGCAGCCGCCGTCGAACCAACAACCCCCGTCCGGGGGGGGGGGGGCGGGGAAACATGTGCAGAAGAGAGGCTCACTGAGAAGATGTCAGCCGCCGAGGCTTGGACACCAGTGGTCCCCATTTCAGAAGTCAGCGCTCCCCCGGCGCCGAGGGAATGCATGTTGATTCCCGGGGGAAAGATCATGGATGGGAACTTCCAAGTCCCGGACATTTCTGACGCCGAGATCGGGGCGATGCTAAAACTTCCTCCTCGCTTATCTCTTATTTTTCAGGCTCTTTATGAGTCTTTCCTTGAGCCCCACTGGATCGCTGCCTCTCAGTCTTCTTTGATCGACCGTCAGCGTAAACAAATCTCTTTCCATATCCACGTAAGATTCGGTCGAGTTTTTTTTTTTTTTTACTTCATCTTTCCTGATTTCCAACTTTCCGGAGCCTGGTCCTTTCCATCCTTAACCTTCTTGACCTAGTTAAGGTTGAGGAGCGCGATAAGGAGATGGACAAAGTGGAAGACAGACTCAACTCCCTTGTTTCCGACGCTAAAAAGAAGCTAGATGATGCCGTCGAGAAGAGGGACGTGGCCTTGGCCAAGCTGGTGAGTTTGGAAGACGAACTAGTAAAGTTGAAAGCTGAGGTCGCGAGTCTCACGGAGCGGGCAGACTTGTCTGACAAGAAGTTGTCCGAAGCAACTGAGGAAGCGAAGAGGCGTTTCACCGAGGGAAAGACTGAGGGGAAGAGGGAAGCCGAGGCAGAAGCTGCATTTGCTTTCGACGCCAGGCGCGCTGAGATTATTGAGGAGTTCAAGATTTCTCCGGAGCTCATGGATATCCGTAACAAGGATTTCCAATCGGCGGGTCAACAAATCGTCGATTTGATCAAGAAGGAGCGTCCTGAGTGGGACTTGAGCTTTCTCTACAATTCCCCTCCTCCTGCTGACGACGCCAACGTATCCCCTCCTGGTGATGGTGAAGAATCGGCGGCTGGTGGCGAAGCCTAGGACATTTTCATTTTTCCTTCTTTCTATTTTCTTTTTGTAACTTATTATTCGACTCGAACAGTTTTTATTTTATCTGCACTTTTTATATAAAAGGTAATAGGTTTAATTTATACCTTGACTTACAATTGCTGCTTTCTCAGAAAATTCCTTAGAATTTTACTAAGTCTTTGCCTTTCCTCCTTGGAGGATCTGATGTCGATTGCACCCCTTGGGGTCGTCGTCTTAGAAAATTCCTTAGAATTTTGCTAAGTCCTCGTCTTTCCTCCTTGGAGGATCTGACGTCGATTGCACCCCTTGGGGTCATCGTCTTAGAAAATTCCTTGGAATTTTGCTAAGTCCCCGTCTTTCCTCCTTGGAGGATCTGACGTCGATTGCACCCCTTGGGGTCGTCGAGTCATTTTTTAGTGATCCGTGGACCTCTGTCCTCCATGTCTGTTTAATATAACCTTAGTTTTTTAAGCAGACATGTTATTAAGGGGTGAATTCTTTTCTTTCTGCAAACATGTCAATTTATTCAACTTGTAAAGAATGTACAATTGAGATATGTAAGAATTTCATACACTATTGGTAGAACAGCCTTAGCTGTTCTGCATTCCACGGGTGTTGAATTCTTTTGTCATCGAGGTTCTCCAAAATGTAGGTGCCGGGACGTAGCACTTCCCTTATGCGGTAGGGCCCTTCCCAAGTTGGCCCCAGCGGACCAGTATTTTTGGGTTTCGTGCTCTGTGTTACTCTTTTTAATACTAGGTCCCTCGGGACGAACCTTCTCTGCCGAACTTTCTTATTGTAGTATCACGTCATTCGTTGCCGATAGGCGGCGAGATGTAGTTGGGAGTCGAGCCTTTTTTCTTCTAACAAGTCGAGTTCTCCGTTCATGCCTTTCGCGTTGTCATCATCATTATGGACGACGGTTCTTAAAGTCGGCATTTTGATTTCTACGGGGAGCACTGCTTCGACGCCATACGCCATGGAGAAGGGTGTTTCACCCGTAGTAGTTCGGCTCGTCGTTCTGTATGCCCATAGGACCTTGGGAAGTTCCTCGGCCCATTTCCCTTTCAGTTCGTCGAGTCTCTTTTTGAGGGTATACTTTAATATTTTATTGACCGCCTCGACTTGTCCATTTGATTGTGGATGGATCGGCGTCGAGAAGTCTTTCCGGATGCCCAAGCTATCGCAGAATCTGCGTGTTGAGGCGTTGTTAAATTGCTTTTCGTTGTCGGATACTATTGAGTGGGGAACCCCGAACCTGCATACGATGTGGTCCCACATGAATTTGGTGCAGGCTGCTTTCGTGGTTGTAGTTAGAGCCTTTACCTCTGCCCACTTCGTGTAGTAGTCTACCGCAATGATTGTAAACTTAAATCCTCCGGGTGCAAGATGTAACGGCCCGATCAGGTCAACCCTCCATTTGGCGAAGGGCCATGGACTGATAATGGAAGTTAAATTTTCTAGGGGTGCTCTAGGAATTGTGACATACCTTTGGCATTTATCGCAACGTCGGGCGTATTGAAAAGCGTCCTTTTTTAGCGTGGGCCAGTAGTATCCTTGCCTTAAAACCTTTAGAGCCAGAGATTGCTCCCCAGTGTGGTTACCGTAGACTCCTTCATGGATTTCGTGGAGGACCTTCTGGGCTTCGGCATCATCCAAGCACCGCTGTAGAGGGGTTAAGTAGCCTCATCGGTAGAGCAAGCCGTCATACAATAAGTACTTAGCAGCTCTATACCTGATCTGTCTGGCTTCATCTTTATCGTTTGGCAGTTGTGCATTCATTAGGTATTGGATGAGTGGAGTCATCCAATTTTCACCTACTTGGACGATTAATGCCTTAACCTTTTCTTCTATAGTCGGTTGCTCCAATTCTTCGATGGGAACGACCCCTAGTGTGTCGGACTCTCTAGAAGATGCTAGCTTTGCCAGAGCGTCGACGTTTGCGTTTTCAGTTCGTGGTATCTGGAGTATCTCGTAGTTTTTGAACTTAACGAGTTCTTCTTTTACCTTTCTCAAGTACGCTCCCATCTTCTCGCCGCGCGCTTGGTATTCTTCCTTTACTTGCGTGACGACCAATTGAGAATCACTGAAGACGCTGAGCATTTCGATCTTCAGGTGGCTGGCTAACCGTAGTTCGGCAATTAGTGCTTCATATTCCACCTCATTGTTCGATGCCTTGAATTTAAATCGAACCGCCGAGGTAATTTTGTGGCCTTCGGGGCTGTTTAACAAGACGCCGGCTCCTGACCCGTTTTCGCTCGATGCCCCATCCACGTAGAGCTTCCATTTTGTAACCTCGACTTCTCCAGATGTGGCGGGAACTGGTCTATGAGAGAACTCAGCTAGAAAATCGACGAGCGCTTGGCCCTTGATCGCAGTTCTTGGCACATATTTTATGTCAAACTGGCTTAATTCTACCGACCATTTGAGGAGTCGACCGGAAGTTTCGGGCTTTTGCAGAGCCTGTCTCAGCGGGTGGTTTGTGAGAACCCGTATTGTGTGAGATTGGAAATAGTGCCGAAGCTTCCTTGAAGCTACCATCAGGGCGAGAGCTAGGCGCTCCATTTTGCTGTATCTCGACTCGGCGTCGAGGAGCCTTTTGCTCACATAGTAGATCGGCAATTGTACCCTCTCTTCTTCTCTTACTAATACGGAGCTTACGGCGTGTTGGGACACGGAGAGGTATAGGTTAAGCTCCTCGTCGACGTTTGGTTTTGACAAAATTAGGGGCTTGCCCAAATGCTCATTCAATTTCTAGAAGGCCTCTTCACATTGTGGTGTCCACTCAAAGCGTTTGCTTCCTTTCAAAGAGTCGAAGAAGGGGACGCATTTGTCGGTTGCTTTTGATATGAACCTGTTTAGGGCGGCGACACATCCTGTTAATCTTTACACTTCCTTTGGCTTTGTTAGGGACCGCATATCCTGCAGGGCTTTGATTTTCTCGGGGTTTGCTTCAATCCCACGGTTGCTGACCATAAAACTAAGGAATTTCCCCGACCCAACTCCAAAGGCACATTTCTGGGGATTGAGTTTCATGTGGTATTTTCTTAACACACCAAACATTTCCCCCAGATGATTGACGTGATGGCTGGCCCTGGTACTTTTCCCAAGCATATCGTCGACGTAGACCTCCATCGTTTTACCGAGCTGTTGAGCGAACATTTTATTCACAAGCCTCTGGTAGGTAGCCCCTGCATTCTTTAGGCGGAAAGGCATCACCTTGTAGCAGTAGAGGCCCATGTCGGTTATGAAGGATGTGTACTCCTCGTCGGCTGGATGCATGGGGATCTGGTTGTACCCGGAGTAGGCGTCCATAAAGCTCAGCATCTCATGTCCCGCCGTGGCGTCGACCATTTGGTCTATTTGAGGGAGCGGAAAGCCATCCTTTGGGCAAGCTTTATTGAGATCGCTGAAGTCGACGCATGTCCTCCAGTTCCCGCTGGGTTTGACCACTAGAACGAGATTTGATACCCAACGTGGGTAATGGGCCTCCCTGATGAACCCGTTATTGATTAGCTTGTCGACCTCTTCTTTCAACGCTTCATACCTCTCGGGGTTCATCGGTCGACGTTTCTGGCGCTTGGGCAGATGTGAGGGGTCGACGTTTAGGGAGTGACATATTACCTCGGCGTCGATCCCTTCCATGTCGGAATGATTCCAGGAGAAGACATCTAGGTTCTTCCTGAGGAAGTTTTCGATCTCAACCTTAAGTGATGGGGCTAAGCCCGAGCCCACTTTTAGCACTTTGGTGGACTCGCCTTCATCAACTTGGATTTCCACCAACTGCTCAACGGGTTGAGACCATGTGACTTCCTTTTGAATCCTAGGGTCTATGTCCTCGACGAGGCTTTGGTGAACCATCCTTGCCTCCTGTCTTCCTGGTTGGTCATATCCGCGCAGGGCGTCAGAGTATGCAACCCTAGCTTCATATTGGTTGCTCTTCATTTCCCCTACGCCGTTTGGGGTGGGGAACTTGACCTTTTGGTGGTAGACGGAGGTTATTGCCCTCAATGCCTGGAGGGTTGGTCTGGGAGCCTCCTTTTATGACCACGAAATTGGCCATTGTGGTTGCCTGTCGAGGTTTTTCTTCGGCGGTTATGGGTAGCCGGATAGTCCCTTGAGGGATGATGAAGTCCCCAGTGAAACCATACAGCAGCCTGGAGGTTTTTTCCAATTGTTCCTTTTGGATCCCCATTTTCTCCAAGCAGTCGGATTATAGGAGGTCCACCGAGCTCCCATTGTCTACCAGGATTCTACACACGGTGTGGTTTCCTATCATGGCTTCCACCACCAAGGCGTCGTTGTGGGGGAAATGAACCCCACTGGCGTCATCCTCGTTAAAGGCCACGTCGGTGTGATTGTACCTTGGGGTTTTTACAGCAGAGACGCTTCAGAATCGCTCCTGATAAACCCCATGGCCTCGTGGGCGTAGTCCTTCTAAGACCTCCTTGAGTCTCCTCCTATATAAGAACCGCCGAGGATAGTCCGTATGACGTCGACGGGTTCGCGATCCTCTGGGCGCTGGTTCTCCTCTCAGTGTCGACCGTCATTTTGCCCACCATGGCCGTCATTTCGAGGTCTTCGTTCGGCCCTGAACTCTTGTAACCTTCCCTCGTGGATCACTCTTTCGATTTCATCCTTGAGGTCGGCGTAATCGTTGGTGTGGTGGCCGACATCGCCGTGGAACCTACAAAATTTCTTCTGGTTCCTTCGGCTGGGATCTGACTTCATTGCTTCCGATCAGCGCAGCAAGTTCCCGCGGCCGACCTGATTGAAGACCTCCTCGACTCCTACCGTTAGCTCGTGGTAGGAATCGTATTTTTGGAACAGTCGAGGCTTACGGGTATCCTCTTGCCTCGGCTTATTGGCTTCTGGAGCGTTCGTCGTCGCGGCGGGCTGCTTGTCTCCATTTCCTCCACCTCGATGCTTCTTCCCATCCTGTTTCGCAGGCGTCGACCCTTGTTCAGTTCATTTATTCTTGTTGGTCCTGTGCTCGGGGTCGTTTGTGTCCGCCTCTTCGGCATTGATGTACCCCTGCGTTCGCGCCAAAAACTCCCTGTAGCTGGACGGAGGTTTCCGGTTCAGCTCTCTTTTGAATGGAGTAATTTTCTTCATGCTCGATAAGGCCCCCATCAAGGCCTCTCTATCTGTTATATCCATCGTGGCAGCGACAGTTTCCCCATACCTTGCAAGTCATTCCCTTAGTGACTCGTTCGGCATCTGGTATATCGTCGTCAGATTTTACTTTGGGGGGACGTACTTTTTGACCCCTATAAATTGGAGGGAAAACGCTTCCTTCAACTCGTCCCAGCTCGAGATAGAGTTTGGCCTCAGCGTCCGGAACCATCTTCGGGCAGAATCCGTCAAATGGTTTCGAAAGGCTCGGCACATGATCTCCTCGGCGTAACCGTGCAAGAGCATGTGCCCTGTGTATATCTCCAAATGGTCGTCGGGATCTCCTCGCCCATCATACGGTGGGATTGACGGTGACCTGTATTTATCGGGGAGAGGGGGCGCCATTATTTCTTCGGTAAATGGATGGTCATGTGTGCGGCTGGGCGTGATATCGACGTTTACCACCTCAGCCACACGACCTATATTCTTTTTTAGGCCCGCCACGTCCCCTGTCAGTTTTTACTCCAGGCTGGACATACATTCCATGATGGCGCGTGCTTCTTCTGTCGAAATGGTCGAGCCGGCTACTCTCGACGCTTCTGCCCTCTGAGCATTGGGTCCGCCTCGGGCCTGGCCGCCTACCTATACTAATCCTGAGTCTCCTGGCGGGTTTCCACCTGGATTTTGGGATAGTACATCGGGGTTTCCTGGACCTCTCGGTACCTGGTCCTCGGGAGCTCGGAGTCCGGCGGCCCCCAAACGGCTGCCAGAGGATTGGGAAGGCCGAGGCCTAGGAGGGCCCCGGTGATTCTCACTATCTCCGGTTCCCTCTTGGATATGTGGGTGGTCACCGTGGTTCGGATTTCCAGCCATGGCAGGTCCCTGTGGCCTCGGGGCGTCTTCTAATGGCGGCATGGAGTTCCTTCCATCTAACCGCTCAACCACGGTCATTAGCCTACGTACCAGCTCGGTTAGAGTGGTTAGTTGGGCCTGCATCTGCATCGGATCCGGCCGTGGTGCGTCTGGAGGTGGGACTTCGTTTCCGACCGAGCGTAGATCTTCTTCCATCCCGCTATTCCCTGGATGGATGGAGGTTTATAATTATGTTGTTAGGGGTCGAACGTTTTCATTGTCCAGTGGAGTCGCCAATTGTTGACAGACGAATTTCGCCAACAAAAACCGGCCGGGTTACCTCTTGGTTTCCTTTTGGATTACCGGCCAGTGTGTAGTTAACGTATGAGGATTTGTTGAATATGTGTATTTGTGTGTTAACTAAATCATGCATAGACAAATGACACAAGGAATTTTATAGTGGTTCACTCTATAAAATGAGAGCTACATCGACTGTGATTTTGCATTTCTTTTGAGAAGATAATGATTTACAGCAATTGCTCTCATTAAATCTCTTTTCTCTTTGCTGGAATTTTTGAACCCCTTCCTTACTGGGGGTCTTCCTCCTTTTATAATGGGCTTCCTTCGCTTAGGGGGTTTCCTTCATAGGTGGAAGCACTCAAGTGCTCTTCCTTGATAGGCCCAGACGTAGCCCACTAATCAGCACTGTTCACTCAGCCAATTAGTCTCATATTACGACTATGTGCTTCTCCGTAATACTTTTCTGTCCCCTGGGGGGCGGTTTGAGAGTTTGTAATTAATGCATGCAGACGTCTTCCACTTTTGCATGCAACCTATCACGTCCTCTAAAGAACGTTCCCCTCGTCGTTAGTGCTGCTTAGCCCAATCGCCCTCTTTGGCGGTCCTTTCTGCGGTCGAGGGATCTTCGTGCCTTAATCTTGATGGCACGATCTGTCGACGCCATAAGGGATCGTCACCCTAATTTAGACTTCGTGCTTTGGGCTTTCCAACGGAATAGGAAGGGTCCGTAGACGTCGAGGGTTTTTACTTGGTGGAGAGTAATCAAGGCCACGTGTCGCATTATCGTTTGTCTATGTGTCTGTCACATTTTTTCACACAAGTAAGACTATATATATATATATATATATATATATATATATGTGTATGGTATGTGATTCGTCTATATTTTACACTGTTCTTTAAGTGAAGTTTCAAAAGGCAGAGTCATGAGGCGTTGTTTTTGGAAGGCAGATTCAGTAAGGGTATTTTTGTCCTTTTGACAAGTTATAAAGAAAGGAAAAGCGCCTTCCTTTTGGTCTCGGAAAAAAAAAAAAAAAAAAAAAAAAAAAAAAAAAACACTTCATTCTTAAAACAAATGAATAATTAAATAGAGGGACTTGTCTGTACATGCAAGTCGTTAAAAAGGGACATTGAAAAAAAAATAAAAAATAAAAAATAAAGAAAAGAAAAAACGACGTATCTTTTTTTTTTTTGACAAGTAACGACAACGCGACTCTTTTACCTTTTGCGACTTTAAAATCATGTTGCAATATGTTATTTGATGTTTATGAAGGATTGCTTTAGCAGATTCATCATTTGCTTTTGTTGGCATAAGTTTTTATTTTTTAATAATTTTCTTCTAATTTTAAATTTGTATCTCTTATTAAAATTAAAACTAAAATTATAATTATGTTATTTTATTAAAAGTTCGTTTGGTACGAAGATTTAAACTAGAGTAATTCTAATGATGATTTTAAAACCAGAACTATAATTTATGATTTTAAATTCAAATCATGATTCTAAAACCATGATTTAGAATCAGATATTTGAATTACCGTGAATCAAGAGGAGAGTAGTTTTAAAATCATGATTTGAACTAGTTTAAAACATCACATCAGATTCTGAATCATGATTCAAAATTATCTAAACTAAACATTGATTTAGAATCATGATTCAAAATCACTATAAATAAATACTGATTCTAAACTAAGATCGAGAATCATGATTCTAAATTCATCTACCAAACACACTCTAAATCACCTTTCTATATCATATCCACATGTACGGCACATGATTTACTCTATTAAATATTTAACAAATAAAGCTAAGTGGCATCTGTGTGCCCGTGCCCATCACCACCCACATGGACACCCAGGTGGATGCCTAAATTGTTTTCTTGTGGACCCACTATTATTTTAAAAAAGAACAATATTATGAGACATTGGTGATATTAAACACTACTATCTAATAGAAAATGTATCTTGTAGTGTGTCACAAATAAGGTCACTTTCTATTAGATATTAGTGTTTAGCGTTGGTAGTGCCCTTAAATATATATCTTTAAAAAATAGTGAAGCCCATATTTGTTTCAACAACTCAAACTATTATTTAGGATTTAAAACTTAGTTCAGGATTCAAACTGGTGTTTGGGAGAGAAAAATTTAAGGACAATTCAAACCATTAACAATGGTTTAAAGACAACTCAAATTGTTGATTTTAGAATTCACCTCTCCTTAAATTCTAACAATCCATTATCAACAGTCTAATAGTGAAGCCCATATTTGTTTCAACAACTCAAACTATTATTTAGATTTCAAAACTTAGTTCAGGATTCAAACTGGTGTTTGGGAGAGAAAAATTTAAGGACAATTCAAACCATTAACAATGGTTTAAAGACAACTTAAATTGTGAATTTTAGAATTCACCTCCCCTTAAATTCTAACAATCTGAATTATTATCAACAGTCTAATAGCTCCATAATCTACTTTTTCTTTTTCTTTAATTTCAATCTTAAAATTATTATAATTTCTTCGTTTTAATTTCGATTGAGATGTTTTTTTAATGTGTTCATAATAAAAAGATGAACAAATTCATATCAATATTGTATATTTTTAATGTCATTTACAATAAAATTTGTTATAAAACTCAAATAACAGTTTTTAACACTTTATTTAAATGTAGTTCGAATTTTATTTTTAATTTAAAATTCGAATCACAATTAAAAACGCATAGTTCTATGCTTATATTATACGTAGAAGCAGTATAAAGTTGCTTACAGCTTAAAGAATAGAGGAGGCTGAAGTGCTAGAAGACCGAAAACCTCAGAGATTTACTTACCAGATTTGAAGTAATAATAAAAATTTATAGCAGATTTTTTTTTTTTTTTGGTATGGAAGATTATAGCATAGTTAAGCATCATAATCTTTTAACATCCGAAATTACCCCTCCTCGTTGGACATCGTCTCTCCTCCTTAGATCCCGCCTCCTCCGTCGTCGATTCTGGCCTGCTTTGGCTGACAATCTCCGACAAGAAAGAGTTGCAGACCGTCAGCGGAGAGAGAGAGTGCGCGAGCAGAGAGAGAGAAAGTGAGTGAGGAGAGAGCGAGCAGAGAAAGAGAGAGAGAGAGTTGAGAAGAGAATCGAGAAGGAGAGGGTGAGAGGAGAGAGAAAGAGAACGGGGGGTACCACTGATATTTAAAAAATAAAAAATAAAAATCATTAAAGGTAAACTGTTGAGAAATTTTAGAGGGACTGGGAAAGTGGAGAGGAGTTTTGTTCATAACATATGCTGACTTTCTATTTGGGAATATTTTGAAAGGTTACTACATTCTATAAAAAAATATGTTTTGCACACTTTCATCGGAAAAATTATTTTTTACATTCATTCCTCCAAAATGGTTTACTTGTAATCAAAATTTAAATTACTGCTCATTGTTATGATATTAAATTCTAAGATTTTAAATTACTGATTTCAAATTTAAAAATTTAATTCAAAATACAATTTGAAGCTTAACAAACTCAATTTCTCCAACTATGCTTGTGGCTGAATAAAATAATATTATACTTGAGAAATTGTAGTACAGAGCATAATTATGAGACTAATTAAATTAATTAAATAGAGTAGATTTTAAAATTATTTAAAATAAATAACAATTTATTGTATAAATATTTTATTTACGATTAATAAAAAATAATCATGTGGTAAAAAATCTTTATTTATGCGGAAATTTTTTTTAAATGGTTCTATTTACACCTCTTTTTTACTCTTCACACTCTCCTAAATTAAAAATTTCTTATTCTAAAAAGACCTATAAATAAAATGACATAAAAGGACAATAAGCTTAATTATATAATTAAATTTTATTACAAAAGAGAAATTAATAGAGAGTCTTCTTTCTCTCCACACACCTCACATATTATATTCTCCAATTATAAACTATTTCTATTTCAAAAATCTATAACTAAATCCTAATTTTTCAATAACGATTTCAAAAAAAAAAAAAAAAAAAAAAGTAGTATTAACAGTATTGCGGGTGTTTTTGGTATTTTCATTGCACAATTCCTTCAAATAATCTTTCTAATATATTACTGTTTTTTCCTTCTTGCCCTTTCCCTCCTTTACTGCTATTCCCAACTCTCTGCAAATCTCTCTCATGCAAATACTTAATCCGTCAATTAAAATCCACATTAGGACAGCCGGATTTCTCTCAGTTTTTCATTGATCTGGTCTTCTAGCTCTTTGGCCTTCAGTATTCGTCAGTTGTAGGCAACTCTATACTTCTGCTTCCCTATTATTCTGCTCCGTGCTTCATTTGTTTTTGTTTTTGTTTTTTTTTGTTTTGTTTTTTCCTTTTCCTGTGAATATATTTCGGATTTTTCAATTGAAATCTTTCTTGTGATTTTAATTGCCTCTTTTTCAGCACTCATTAGTGATTATACTAATATTTTACTGTCCATTTTCTTTCTCGTGGGTCTTTGAATCGAAATTTGCATCTGATTTCCCTGGTGGGTTTTTGTCGTTGAAGTGGAATTTGTGCAGAAATGTGCTTTCTAACATTCTCTTTCACTATTTATTAATGATTATCCTGGTATTTAATTCATTTACCCATTTGAAATTCGTACATGTGAAATGTGAATCTAAATTTGTATATCCTAACATAAATAGATTGCTGGAATGGCCATGAAAAGAAGAAGAACGCCAACTCAAATGAGCAACACTGATGCGAAAATTCAAGTATCTGGTCCCTGTATAAGTGATCTTCCAAGGACAATCTTTGTTGATATTCTGCTAAAACTATCTACCAAGAGCATTATTTTTTGCAAATGTGTGTGCAAGACTTGGCACATTATAATTTCGGATCCTCAGTTTGCTAAGCTCCACTTGGCGCAAGCAAAGGCCTTTCCATTGATTCGAGACCAGCATTATCGCCGCATTTCTAGAGCTCTTTACTTGTTGGAACCTGTAGACAACGAGTGTAATCGTTGTCGTTTCAACATAAAGGTGAAAACCAAATTAAAGATTCCGGTGAGGAATGCTCAAGTAATGTTCAGTCATGCAGCTGATGATGCCAGTGTGATCTTTAACACCACAAACAGGGGAAAGAGGGAGCATTTGTTTGAGTTGAAGTCAGGTATGGATCACACGTACTCTATTGTGAATTCATGTAATGGCTTACTTTGCTTGACTGAACCAGCAGGCAGGGGTTCAGTTGTTGTTTGCAACCCCGTCACTGGTGAGTTTATATATCTTCCAGAGTCTTGTAATTTTGGGACTGACACGATTGATATTAGAGTCGGGTTGGGTTTCAGTCCAAAGAACAATCAGTACAAGGTGATAAGGATGTTTAATTGGTTGATAAAGGATCGAATGGCAGGCTCTTTTGAGTGGAGCAAATTTGAAATGGTTGAGATACACACGCTTGGGACTGATTCATGGAGAAGTCTTGATATCTCAGAACTTAAAATAGACTTACTAACATCCATAACATATCTCAATGGTGCTATGCATTGGCTTTATTTTGAAAGAAATGATGATAAGGATTCCCGTCGTATAGTCTCTTTTGATTTGGATAAGGAGCAGTTTGACTTCCACGATGTTGCATCACCAGCTTGTGCTCATAGAAAAAGCTGTTATTGGGATATGGCAGTTGTAGGAGGTTATCTTTGTCTTTATACCGTAGCTTCTGATCATTGTTGTACATGGGTTATGAAAGACTATGGTGTCTGGGAATCTTGGACGAAATTGTTCGACATAGATATTGCCATTGATCAATTTGGGCGTAATTTTTCCCTTTACCGGCCTCTAATTCAGTTGAACAATGGAGCTTTACTGATTTTTGGTGATTTTTACGGTAAATTGATTTACTTTGACCAATTAGGAGGCCTAAGATTCAAACGTCTCAAGTTTCGTGGCATTGCATCGAGATTTGAAGCCATTGCTCATATTCCAAGCTTCATTTCACTCAAGGATATTGTGAAGAGGGGTAATGTTGAGGTTCTCAATGTCAAGTCAAGGTATGGATGAGCATATTTGCATTCTCTCGTTTTTCTTATGTTTATTTTTTATTTTTACTTCTTGATATGTCCAGTTTATTTTAGCCGTTTTTTTTTTTTTTTTTTTTTTTTTTTTTTTTTTTTTTTTTCTGAGACAATGGGGAGGACTGTGATATATATTCCCTCTTGTTTTTAACAGTATTAATTAAGGAGTATCACAGTGTTTTTATGATAAATAGAATTTATATTTTAGCGGCCTATGTTTTGTGCATAATTTTCTCCCTTATTATAAGACCTTATAATTTTAACTTGATGTTTAAACAGGTGTGGAGAGTTGATACTTGTGGAAGAGTCCTATCCTCTTTTGCTTGGAAGGTCAATAAATTAGACGTGTTCTGATTCTCACTACTTTCTCATCTTCCTTCCCTATTAGAATATGAAAATTTTGGCACTGGTGGCCGATGTTTCAGATTATTTGGGACTCTTTCTGGAGAAGGATTGGTGTTGCTTGGCTACCGAGTGGTTGTGGTTAGTGTACAGACGTTTTGGAAGCTTGTCTTGACACTAGAACTTGAATACGTAACACTCTTTTATTAGCTATATTTTTATCTTTTGTGAATGAAACGTTTAAGAAGTTTCAAGTAGCGTTCATTTGGGGATCCGTCAATCCGACAAATCCAATCCAATCTGAAATTTTGGATTGGGTTGAATAGAGTTTTGAATTGAACACGGATTAAGATTTTTTTAAATCTCAAGGTTTTGAATCGGATTACGAATTGAGCACATTCTAATCGTGAAAACCCGCGAATTCAAAACCTAATGTTTATATATAATGTGTATATATGTATGTGTGTATGTGTGTGTATATATATATATATATATTTTAAGTTTAAGTTTCTTAATTTTTTTTATATATGAAATATTTTTGGATTATTTATATTTTGTGGCCCAATTTACTCAGTTGAACAACTTTATGTTATGGTTATGCTATATTTATTTCAGTTAGGGATGTTAGAAACTTTGAGTTATGATAAATGATGAAGATTTCATGTTGTGTTTTATGTTGTATGGATATTTAATAATTTATAAATGTAAAGGTCAAAATCTGTGAATTCAATCCATAAAATTTGATAAGGTTTTGAATGGGACGTGGATTAAAATTTTCTCAATTCAGATTGACTCTTAATTCATAAATTTAAATCCTTTAATACCCTTACCGGCGTTCAATGTCCATAATTTACAGGTATAAAGAAAACTGTTCAACCATAATTTGAAACGCTTCTTGATTACAATTTTAACCCTCAAATGGGGGTAATACCTATTGAGCACCATTAGGGACACAAATTCGTATATGATTTTTTTTTTTTTTTGGGGGATATGTATCAGTTAATTTGATTCTTCTACTAATCTGATGATTTTAGGTCGCATATTTTTAAAAGTTAGGATCGTATAATGAAGTAACAAGAACTCCGCTGCGATTCCAATTTTCTAGGCAAATACTGAAATGTGCATAAAAAAAATTATTATCCGATGCAATCTTATATTTAAGATTAAATTGGGATATTTAAATTTTGGGCGCTTTTACTGTGTGACTCCACCGGTGGAGCAGGTATATTGCAGCTGCTAGATTTGAACGACAATAAATGTAGTGATGTTTAATTGTGATTAACTGATTATCATTTATGCCGCACAAAGAAAGACCCTTGCAATGCGGTTACCTCCGACATTGCTGCCCACTTGGAAGAACAATCATTATGGGCCCATTTCCTTTTTTCTCTCTCTCTATCAAACCCAACATTTCTCAATCTCTGAAGTGTTAAAAGAAGGGCTCTTTACACGTAACAAAATTTTAATTGTAGAGTTTAATTTCTCCTCTCTCCTTCTGTTAGGATTTTATCTTTTCTTCTAATTGCTCCCTTGCGCCGCCTTAGAAGTAGGCAACAAAGGGCCGGAGTCCGGCGCCATCTTTGGGCGGTGCTCCGGGAAAGGTGCTCAGATGCTGCAAGTGGTACTTTTTCGGTGAAGCTTCGAAGACGCCAAGCTATGGGAGGGAAATACGGGCTTTGGGAAGGTTTTTTTTTTTACTGGCTCGTGGCTGTCGACGTTGGGTGTTTCGGTGCAGCAGAGTGGCTAAGATTAGATCTCCTCAATGTCCAGCTCTTTCAAGGGGGGTTGTTTCATGTTTCGACGGTCAAGGACGGTGGAGGGAGTGGTGTGGTCACAGCTTGGTGGCTGATGGAAGCGTTGGTTCTTGGTCGGTGCTTCGGTTCTCTTCTGAGCGGCGGGGGCTTTGGGTTTTATGGGGCGTCGGCTTCATTTGTGTGGCTTGTTCCTTTGCCGGTGGCGTTTGACAGTAGCGATGGCTCGACTCCTTTTTGACTTTCTTTCGCCTTTCTCAGTATGCTGCAGTCCCCCAGCCCTGGTGGTGATTGGTGACGTCGTGGAGAGTCCATCTGTGTATGTTTTAATTTATGTGTTTGTGAAATAAAAGTGGCCATATTTTCGCTGTTTACTTTTAGGGTTTTTTGGTTGCTTTGTTGGGTTTCTTTTGTAATAACGGAGGTAGTCTCCCCACTTTTTGTTCTGTGTTGTCTGCATGTCATGTGTCTATGCAGTGTTGTGTTAGGCCTTAGTACTTTTATAGTCCGTTTAGTTCGTTGATTTGAGCTTTTAATTCGAGTTGAGATGTGACTTTATGTGAGAGCTTTTTACTGTAGTAAAAAAGTTAGATGTGATTGTTTCTGAGAGTTTTTTACTGTAGCAAAACTCGAATTAGTGAAATGGACGAAACTTTAGTCTCTCAATCTTGACTGATCAGAGTTATCCGCCAGCATTTGCGGTGTTTGTGGTGTGTTTAAAAAATTTAAGGGACTCAGTTTATAAAATGAAAAATTTGCTCATGTCAATATTTTGTCATTTGCCTTATCAAAATTTTTATTTAATAGATAAAAAACATAAGAATATATTTTTATCTATTAAATGGTAATTCAAATCAATAAAATGAAAAAAATATTAATAAGGGTAAATTTTGTCTTAGAAAAGAGCTTAGATACAAAAAAAAAAAATAAGTTTTTTAAATTATTAAGGTACACTTTATTATTATTAAAAATACAGGTTATTTTATACATTTACTCCCTAAACTTACATATAATTACCATTATTGGTCCTTAACCTTTTCACTATATGCAGTTTGGTCCTATTTTTTTAATTTTAGTAAACTAGTCCTTAAACTCTTAAAGTGCTTGCAATTTAGCTTTTCGTCTATTTCTGTTAAATTTTCTAACGGATTCTTACACGTGACTATCATATGCTTCTCCTCTTCATTTAAAAATCGAAAATGCCCTCACTCACACCAAATAAGAAAAAAAAAAAAAAAAAGTTCAAAACCTTTATTTTAATCATCATTCGCTGATTTGAGTTTAAAATTCGAGTTTTACTATAGTAAAAAATTTTCATAAACAATCGTATTTAACTTTTTTATTATAATAAAAAATTCATACATAAAATTACATCTCAATTTAAATTAAAAATTTAAATTAACAAACTAATCGGACTCTCTTTTCCCTCTCTCTCTCCTCTCTTTTTCCCACTGTCGATCTATTACCCAGTATCTCTTCTCATCCATCTTCTCCATTCTCTCTCATTTCATCACTTTCTACCGTGATTTCAATTCCTTCTCTTAACCATCCATCCAATCAAAGAACCATAAACATGAGTCCATTTTCTGGGATTTCTTCAAATCAACCAAAAGCACAAAAGAAGACCTTTCCTAAATCATATCTACAATAAGGACCTTGCCTTTCCTTCGATCCTCGTTCCATTCGTCACAATCCAGGTCGTAGGTGAAGAAAGTTTTTTGCTTGAGCGCTGTCTGGGCGAGGAAGCTCGTGGTGGTCACCGGCCAAGCGAGCGAGATGGCGCATCGGTGTCGCTGCTTCGAAATCAAACACTCTATGCTCCGACAACTTGGATCTAATTGCTATGGCTAGCGTTGCGTCGTCGACGGCGTCTAGATGAAGATGTTTATTTACCTTTTTTTTTTAGTTTAATGGATAAACAAGATTCTTTGCTGAAGTTTGGGAAAATTTTGGGAAAACTGGTTTCAGTTTGATGTTCGTAGAATAAACCTCTTTTTTGGTTAAATGTATGAACAAGATTCTTTGTTGAAGTTTGGGGAAAAAATGGTAAACTTCTTTAAGTTTGTTCCTTTTTTTTTGTGTGGGGAAATTTTTTGAATTGTATTTCTTTTTGTTATCGACAAGCTTTTTTTTTTTTTTTTTTTTTTTTTCTCCTTTGGTCTTTTCTCTATTAATATGCTTGAATTGATATATGGGTGATGAAGGATTATAGTGTATGTGAATCTTGGACTAAATTGTTCTCAATAGATATTGCAAATTATCAATAGCCACATTCTTTTCACCATTATCGACCTATAAGTTTTTTAAACAATGGAGGTTTGTTGATGTTCAATTGTCATTATAATGAATTAGTCTACTATGACGAATTAAGAGGCCTAGGATTCAAACATCTCAAGTTTCGTGGCATTAAGTCAATGTCAATTCAAGGTATGGATACGTATATTTTCTCCTTTTTTTTCCCATACATCTTTTCATTCATGTTGTTTGTGTACGCCTTATTTTTGTTTTCTAAGCCTTGTATTTTGTTTTTTGTTTTGTTTTGTTTTGTTTTATCTCTGCTTTGGTATTCGCTAATCTTCTTAAGTTTTGAGAGTGCATGAATTAGTTTTTCCCATTTTTCATTAGCTGTATATGCATATATCTATTCCAGAGTCTGTCCCAAGACTGGTTTTGATATGTTTGAAGATATATTACCGAGTGGATAAATATTCTCCTTATCACCGATTGATTTGTCTGCAGTATTTGGTCCTGATTTACATTCTTCGCATTGTGAATTACACTAGTTTTTCTGTGAAACCCTCTTCATTAATTCTTCTTGTGATAAAATCTTACATATTTCACTTACCGTTGATACAGGTGTGGGAAGTTGGAACTCATGGAAGAGACCTATCCTATTCTGCTTGCAAGGACAGAAAGATAGACATAGTTCTCATCCTCACTATTTCATGTCACATCGTGGAAAAAATTTTGAATTACTTTTTAACTAATTCTTTTGTGCTTATTACATGTTGTATAATTTAATAGATTAGACACTAATTAAGACACAACAAATTGAACAGATGATAATCCAAACTTGAACGTACACATTCATATGAGAAATAAGGTTACTTTTTGGGGATGAAACGTTTGACAAGCGTAAATGGCGATGAAGATGTGCATTCTTACTGTAGTAAATTGGCATAACTAGGGTGGATAGACAGGCGGATTGCCATTGTTTGGGTGAGTTGGGTTTGGGCTGGGGGAACTCCAAAAAAAAAAAAAAAAAAAAAAAAAAAAAAACTGCCCATGGATTGTATGTGCGGGGTGCTTTGTTAAAAAATATAGTATTAATTTCATAGCATATCACATGCTTACTATTTAAATCGAACATTGAACTATGCCGAGCAGATTAACACTTTAATTTTTAGGACAATAAAAAATATTTGCTAAAAAGAATTTGCCCACATAAGCCCAACACACGTAAATTGCAACACCATTGAATTGGAATAGTCAACATGATCTCTCTCTCTTTCTCTCTCTGCTCCCAACAATCGCACAATGCAATATGGTCGATATCTTTGTACTAATCCAAACTCTCATATGTCGTCCGAAATTAAATCAATTCCAAGCATATTAATCATTATTATCAGTTTCAAGACAGAACTTGAAGGTGAAGCACTCTTTGAGAGGAAATGTTCCGTTTGCCCTGGTTTCACTACCCCTCTTGTTCTCGTATCCTGGGTAATCTTCCTTTTTGAACACCACTTTCTCCTTCAAAACCAAATCATTCTCACGAGCAAGCTCCTCTATCTTCCATTTGTTGTAAGGGCTATCGTCCCTGTGCGCGACGTGCACTTCACCGCCTTTTTCGAGCAATTCCCGAGCACTTCTGAAGAAAGCTCTTAGCAGATCCTTGTGCATCCTACATGCTCATTTAATTTTTATTCAATAAATTAGTACTTGGAATCCTAAAGCATATCAAAACGTTTCAAATGTAACCCGTTTGTATGTATGTATGTATGAAATCCCACGTCCAAATGTGTAATAAACCAAAGGAGATTGATTTCAAAAGATAATTTATGATCCAAAATCACATAGTATATATCTTCAGGACCCATCTAGTTTCCCAGCTGGTTGCCATATTGATGGTACGTTGGCACACAGCTTGTATTTGTAAGTATAATTTATTATAAACTATGGTAAGCAACATAAATTAATAGACACAAGGAACGGGAAAAAAAAAGGGGGAATGGATTATGATTTCGCACAATTCATGAATTCACTAAAAGTAAAACATCATTTACGGATGTCCCTCTTTATTTGAATTTACGCATGATGTTTTTGGAGAATTTTAGGTATAACTTATGACAACCACAAAAATATCATTCCTGAATAAATTAATAAAAAAGATTACTTAGAGACACCATCAGTGTTAAACACCATTACTAATATAATGTGAATTCTACCTGTGAATTTTACCTTTTAGGACCCACTCTTTATTAGTGAGTGGTGTTTAACGCCGCTGGTGCCAAATGGCATTGCAATAGCATTGCTCTAATAAAAAGCCTTTATGTTTAATACAAATTATACGAAGCAAAATAAGTAATAAATGGCGACTTACTCTTTGAGCATAGTTTGAGTTTCTTGAAGTCCAAAATGACCAGCGTGAGGAAAGTTAAAGACGATGACATCAAATTTCATGTATTTAAGTGTGGGATGCTGGTTCATATCATTTACATCAACTTCGTGCAACACTAACCACCCTTTCTTCTTTAACTCTTGCAAATGTTGTTCACATGAGCGGCCATACTTTGTCAATAACGTATCTGAAAAAAGTGATGAGTGGTACAAAAAACTAACATATCATTAGTCATTTATTTATCCTAAATCCTACAGATTTATAGATGCAAAAAACAAAAATTTACAAGACACGTGACCAGCTAAATAAACCCACTGCTAAATGAAAATTCTGATCTTGACAATGCTTGATTGTGAAGCAAGGAATAAGAAACGCAAATGAAGCCTTAAAAAAATGGTAAATGAAAATTGTGACTAGACAATCCTGATTGTGCAGCAAGGAATAAGGAACCCAATGAAGCATCACTTATCAATCAATGAGTTCATTTTTCATTAAGCTAAAGATTTTACATGTCTTATAAGGAGCTTAAAAGCATATGCAAAATAGTACGTATTGAATGTATTGAAAATAAATAAATAAATAATAAATAGCAAGACAGAAATCAAGTACTGCCTATTTGCTTTTTTATTTTATTTTTTATTTCCAACTAATTGCTTGCATTTTATTTTAAATTTTACTTTTAAATATTTCCACTAATCTATTCTTTTCCTCTTATTTTGCCCTTAAAATATTTTATCAAATATGTATCTGCTTAAATATTTTTACACAGCCCGCTACAATATTAAAATTTTCAACTATGGTCCTAATAAATACTTTTTTTAACTAATTATCCTATAAACCTTGTGATCATGCCCTTATTAGTATGTAAACTTTAAGATTTTATTTTTTGATCCTTGATTTGATTAATTAAAATTAGGAAATAACATACAAAAATGTGTCGTTAGGCACCACACCAAACTAGTTTCTTCTCTTACTATATATAGAAGTGTAAAAAAAAATACTTCCATTTTCGACCAAAACTACGTTGTTTTTGTTGAATTTGCCATTTTCTTTTAAAATTTTTTTAGTCCTCCTTTATAATTCTTGTTGTCTTTTAGTCCCTCCCTTCTTTTTTAATTACAAGTCCTTTGTTGTTTTCTCTTTTTTTCCTTCTGGTCCCTCCTTTCTTTTTTTTTTCTCTTAACTTTTCAGTCTTTCCTTGTTGTTTCTTATTTCGTTTTAGTCCATTCTTTTTTTTTTTATTGTATTCCTTCTTTTTTTTTTTTAGTTCTTTTTTTTGTCTTTTTCCTTCTATCTCTCTCAAAACAGTTTTTTTTAACAACTTAAATATTTATCTAACGTTCCTTTAAAATATTATATATTAAAAGTGACCTTTATCTCTATTATATATAAAAGTATAAAAAACACTTTCGACCAAAACGGCTCCATTTTGTTTGGAAGTGATTTTTTTAAACTCTTTTTTTTTTTTCTTTTAGTTCCTCTCTTTCTGTCTCTCTCTCTGTTTTTTTTTTTTAAATTTTTAATCCTTACTTTTTTTCCTTTTAGTCTTTCCTCTCCTTTTTTTTTAAATTTTATTTTTAATACTCTGAGTTTATTTTAATTCCTTTAGTCCTTTTTTTTATTCTTTCTATCACTTTTTTCACAATAATTATTTTTACAGTACACGCCTACTTCCTTAATTGCCCTCTAACATAATTTTTTCTCAGACATGTTCCTGTGTAAAATCTCCTTCCTCTCGCTGTCAAATACTCTTTTCTCAAATGTATCTCCTAATAATTTACTATATCATTGTATCTCACTAATTTTTTTTAAATCTATTGTACTTAATTACTTTTCTACAATATCTAAAACTTCAATAAGTTAACAAGAAATAAATAAACTTATTCGAAGAAATTTATTTACATAATTAAAAAAAAAATTGAGAAACTAAATACGTAAGTGCGATGCACGTGCTTTTTCAACGAGTGCTTATAGAGGAGGGAATGCCCTCTTTTAATACTCGTACCACAACCAAGTTTTGTCTTTTTTTTTTTTTTTTAATTGCTCCTTTACGTGTATGTATGAGTATATGCATTAACTAAATTATTGTTTGGCTCCTTTACCTACTGTGGTAACTATAGAAATGTACATCTAATTTCGACTATAGTCAACAAAAAAAAAATTTGAAAAAGAAAATTAGACTTCAAAAATATTTTTCCTATCATTCGTGAATATATATATATATATGAAATAGGACTAATTTTACTTTCAAATTGCCCCTAAATTTGCATGTCCAAATTGATAAGCACTGACACATTTTTTTTGCTCTCTCTATTTTTAAAGCCAAAATTAACCATCTTAATTTCATTGTTTTTTTATTTCTTTTTAACTAAAATTCATATATTATGTCTTTATCTCAAACAAAAATTCACACTTTATGTGAGTAGTCATTTTTTAATTATAAATGCCTAAAAATAAAAATAATTATTAACAACATAAAATAGCATAATAAAACTTAAATTGACACAAAAAATGTAGGATTTATTTACTGCACGCTCATCATCAGTACTATAATTATATAAGAGAATTTATGACACTGATTTTTTTTTTTAAGGGGAATTCATGACACTGATATTCATGAAGATTACTTTTATTTACATATAAATTTGATGAAGTTTTGTACCTTTAGAATCCAAAGAAGTAGCGACCATGTTAACAGCCATGCGAAACGCTCTAGCTAAACTAGCAGAAAACGAAAAGTTACCCTCTCCAACCAGCAATATCTTCTGCGACCTCCTGTAGTGTTTCCTACATCTCTTTCTTCTCTTCATTATTTTTTCTTGGCTATACCATCAGAAAAAATTCCTTTGCACACGCACAAATATATATATATATATATATACACACACACACACACACACACATATACACATAACACTCCGTTTCTTTATATTCCTTCCGTTACCAAAACATCTCTCTTACATCACTCATGGAACCATTCTTTCCCTCCTTTCATTGTTTTCTTTCTTTTCTGCAAAGATCCCAACACATCTGAAAAACTTACCAAAATGGTTGGCAAGGTAGCAAAATCAAGTTCTCATGACCGGAAAATTGAAAAACGACAAAGGATTATATTGGTCCTAAACCAAATCTTAATATATAGAGGGAAAAAGGGAGGAACATAATAATCTGACGACTGCATTTTTTCACATGACCATGTAACAAATAGTACAAGTCACCTTCAATTGTTGACCCCACCAATTTCTGTTAATTCATTTTGGGGCCCACCTTCAGTGTTTTTTTTTTTTTTTTCTTTTAAGAGATTTTTTTAGAGACGTTTGGTTTATAAATTAAAATAATAAGATTATAATTATTTTTAATTTATATGTATTTTTTGTGAGAGAAAATATTATAATAAATCATAAATTATAATTCGAATTGGGGTATAAATCTCCTAAACAAATAACCCCTAAAATACTTACGTCGTTTAATTATTAAATCTGCATTTTTTTTAAGTTTTACCTAATTTAAAAAAAATTTAACAGACAAAAAATAATTTATCGGTGTGATTAAAGTACCGAAAAATGTCCTTTTTTTTGTTTTCTTTTGTTTTGTTTTTTTTTGCTTTCTTTGCCAAGAAGGAAACTTGGCACGTAAAAATGGCTGGTGTATGTGTGTGTACGAAGAAAGGAAAAAAGTTGTGGTTTTGACCTTTTACGTTTTGATCTCTTCTCGGTCAAATCACCCATGGCCAAAACCAAAATTACGTTCATATGTTGTCCTCGGCTAGTGATAGTGCCATTTTTTAGTGTGTTCTCAATTCTCATCGTTAAGTCTAGACTTTAGAATTTAGACAGGAAAGTAAGTTTTATATTCAAGCAAAATCATGTGTGTTGATTGTTCTTTATTTGTGGTTCTGTAATTAATTATTATTTGGCTTGGCCCGTTTGTTTACATGAAATTTCTCAACAAATTTATCATATTTTCTTGCAGATTTTTTAGAGGAACCCCACCAAAATTGATAATTATGGTATTTGGATGCATTATCAGAGCCGAACTGGGTACCATAATATGTATAAGGAGTTCCGTGACACCACTCTAAATGGTACCATGGACCAGATGTACAACGAAATGGCTTCTCGCCACAAAGTCAGGTTCCCATACATTCAGATTATCAAGACTGCAACTGCCCCTACCAAGCTTTGCAAGAGAGAGAGCACAAAACAATTCCACAACTCGAAGATAAGTTCTTATTGGTGTACAAGAAGGTCAGGCCACCAACTAGGAAGCTGAATACCACATACAAGGCATCAAGGCCCAACTTGTTTATGTAACTTGGTCATTCCTGGATCAAGCTTTTAAGAGAAGTTAAAGTGAGGCTATTCCTGGATCTTTTTAGTAGAAACTTTTTTTTTTGTCCCTTTTTGTTATTTTATCGGATATTTTGTTATTTGAGTATCTTTGAACCCCAAGTTGGTTTAGTTTAAAGGCTTCAGAATTCTTGTTTGCTTACTTATAATCCTACTAATATTAGTGTCTGGACGAAGTGTCATTGAACGCAATTTTGGTGTCTGGAAAAAAATGAAAAATTTTGTGAGACATGCCAAATTATTCATTTACGAAGCAAGTAAAAATAGTTATTGCAACAATGGCACTCCATAACTACATTAGGAAGCATGATAAGCGTGATTGACATTTTCAAATAGTTGAGGACAATCCAGATGATTTCATTTATGAGGAGAATCAACCAGAGGACAATGTAAAAGAAAATTAAGTTTAACTATCACTGGAAATGGATGAAGTACGAGATCAAATTGCGGCAAGTTTAATGAACACAACTTAATTCTTTCACCTTCAGTGTTTTTTTTTTTTTTTTCTTTTAAGAGATTTTTTTAGAGACGTTTGGTTTATAAATTAAAATAATAAGATTATAATTATTTTTAATTTATATGTATTTTTTGTGAGAAAAAATATTATAATAAATCATAAATTATAATTCGAATCGGGGTACAAATCTCCTAAACAAATAACCCCTTAAATACTTACGTCGTTTAATTATTAAATCTGCATTTTTTTTAAGTTTTACCTAATTTAAAAAAAATTTAACAGACGAAAAATAATTTATCGGTGTGATTAAATAATTCTTTTCATGCCTCTACCAGTTTTTGAACATAGAATGTACATTTTTGTTCAACAAATTGATTACTCACTAATGCTCCTTTTAGTTGTAACTATATTGTGAATGAAGAAGTGAAAAAAAAGAATTAATTATCATAAATTTATTATTAAAAAACTCAAAATCATAGCATTATGTTTTTTTTAGTTAAACAAGTATTTCTAAATACCAAAAACAATTATATATATATATATATTCAAGTTTCATACAATGTCTATTTTGATCATTTTATATACCCACAGCAATTCAACCTTAAACTTTACCAAACACTATTACAGTGATTTTGGAACCAGCACAGCTAATATAATTACAGTTTACTAAACACTCAGCTGCTTCTTATAACAGTTGTTTCTTCCTCAGTATAACTAAAAATAATTTTTCTAAAATTTACAACACTATCAAACTAAGCCTTAGTACTAGTAGACGTAGTTAGAGATCCTAAGGTTACTTCTAACATTATGACATTTTGGAAGCTTGGCTTAACACTTGAATTTGAATGCGCACATTTTTATTTGGTATATGTTTAACTTTTGTGAATGAAACGGTTAAGAAGTTGCAAGTACTGTTAGATTTTCACGGTTGCATTCTGATTTTTTCTTTTATAGACTGATTGATTGACGTGTCAAAACTACAAAATTGACATTCATTAGTTTTTGAATAATAATTATAATAGGTTTTAAATTTGAGGATCTTATTTAATAAAATTAAAAGTTTTAATGTTCAAATTATCAAATCTCGAATAAAAAGGTGTATAAACGCAAAAGATCCTATTGAGGCTGCACGTGTAAAGTAGGTGATAGCTTAAGCACTAATGTAAGAATTAATTTTAATTAAGTGTGTCCAAAAAAAAAAATGAAAAAGAGGTGTAAAGTGAAGAAGGAACATTGCAAAGTAACTTTTATTATGCAAAAGAAAAGGTGGCCATTCTTGAAGGCGGTTCCCGCCAAAAAGCGTGACACAGAAAAGAGAAGTAAAGGGCGGTGCGTTCGTTTGTCCCGCACAAAAAAGCTTTTTCAGTTTTCATTGTGTATGGGTCCGTTCATCTCGTTGATTCGAGTTTAGAATTCAAGTTGAGATGTGATTTTATGTGAGAGCTTTTTACTGTAACAAAAAAGTTAAATGTGATTGTTTGTGAGAACTTTTTACTGTAGAAAAACTCGAATTCTAAATTCAAATAAGCGAAGTGAACGGGGCTATTAATCACGCTCGATCACTTCCCTGATCACCACGTGTCCATCTGAGTCACCATCAGTGTCCACGTATAACCTTCAACTTCTCACATGTCTTCACTACAAACTACAAACAAAACAGACCCCATTTTTCATCTCTTTGATCTCTCCCTTCTCTTCTCTCTCTCTCTCATTAATATATGTCAGCAGCAGAAGACGGTTCTTTTTGCATTTTTGCCCTCGGCTTGTTTCCTTGTAGCCACCTCTCATGGAGGTTCCGGTGGGGTTTCTGGCCCGGCTATGGAGATTCCTCTCCTTCTTGCCTTTCTTCTTGTCGCTCTTCACCCTTGGCCTTCTCAAAGGTATATACACACATATATGTAGGTGTGTGTGTCTTTATCTGTGTTTATGTGTTTTTGAAATTTTTTTATGAGCATGTTTTTGACAATAAAATAATAGATAAAGTTTACGCTTTGTTTATTTTTTCAATTCGAATTTAAAATTTAAAATTTATTATTATTTTACCGATTTGAATTTAAAATTTAAATTTTATTATGGTAAAAATTTTTAAAAACAGTCACATCAATTAACTTTTTTTATTAAAGTAAAAAATTATCACATCTCAATTCAAATTAAAAATTTAAATCAATGAATTAAATTTAGCTTAATGTTTTGAAGCTTTTTTTATTAAAGTAAAAAATTATCACATCTCAACTCAAATTAAAAATTTCAATCAGTGAATTAAATTTAGCTTAATGTTTTGAAGAACTTCCAGAAAATTTAACAACTGTTACTAGAAAAGAACGCTATCAGCTTTTAGTTGAAAAAATTTTCAGTGAATCAGATCATTTTTTTTTTCTCTTTTCCTTTTTTTTTTTTTAAATATTCATCCAAAGGTTGAAATTGGGTTGCATGATGTATTTCAAAAAAATGGGATGTACTATGGCTTATTCCTAAACTTTTATGGCAAGCATTAATTAGACTTTAGTGTTGATGAGCAAGTTGTTAGGATATACTATTTTTAGTTATCTAATCATTCCAAAATGTTGGGAGATGGTTTATGATTGAATTCTATGTCCATAACAAGTTAATTTTATAGATTTGCAAAAATTGCACTACGTGGCATAAGAGTGGAATTTAACCATAGCAATTTCTTGGAGTCTTTTAGGAACAGAAAATTTACGTAGTAATAATTATAATGATTTTAATTTTGCGTAGCTGCAATAATTGGGCCAATCGTGGTAGCTATTCTTGTGGCTGGAAATTCAGCTGTAATAATTGGGCTTTGGCCTGCACATTTCCTCTGGACTTACTACTGCGTGGCAAAGTGAGCTTCTCATCATGATCATCAACCAGTTTCTCAATTTGTTTCATATTTATGTGTGCGTGCGTGTGCGTATATATGTATATATATATATATATATATCTTGATGTTGCTCTAATTAACATCATACTTGAGGTGGGCCAACAATAGTTTTTATACTTTTTAACAGTTTTAAAAATTTCAGAAGCAAGAAGCTTGGCCTTGTTCTGAAGATTTTGGTCCTCGTGGTGTTGCCACTGCCTCTTGTCCTTTGGCTGGTTGTTGGAATATTTGCAAGTCTTTTGGGTGGAATAGGATATGGGATTTTCGCCCCTCTTATTGCAACATTTGAGGCAAGAGGGGCGAATTTCAGAGATAAATTCTACCACTGTTTTGCTGTATGTAATTCCTGTTCCCCTTTTACTACATAATTTCTTTGCTAGTATCCTATTTGGAAAATGTTGTTTTGTTAGCTAATTAACCAACTTAATATTCGAAGTCAATCCAGTTGCTTAAGCTGTTAGGAGACGGGCTAATATTAGTATTTATTCTTCACATGTGGCGCTCACAATTTTAGAGGGATAGACACACACGTGAGAACAAATTAGGGAGGGTAATTACAAGAGTTTGAACTCAAGACCATTGGATATATGATATAATATCATGTTAGTTTACTTTCCTAATAGATATATTTCTTTTTCTCCCCCAATATGTATTTACTGTAAGTTTCTATGTCTGAAAAATCTTGCTAGAAAATGCCAAAATATGTTAGTATATTCAGTGTGTTTTGGTTCCCACCTTTCATTAATAGCTATTTCATCCACATTACTAATTTCTCAGTCCTCAATAATCACACTGGTTTCCTTCTGCTGGCTTTTTCTATATCAGGATGGTACTTGGTCCACTATCAAAGGAAGCTGCACAGCAGTACGAGATTTAGTAGATTTTTGCTTCCATTCTTATTTTTCTTACATGGATGAACTAATTGAGCAAATACCCGCGGATGAACGATCCATCGACATAAAGTAAGCAATCTTCCTTTTGATCACTTGGTTTATGCTGAAAAAAAAAAAAAGTTTGGAAGTGAAACTTATAGACGTATCACTTTTCCATGCAAGGTTATCAAAATTGCCAAGCTGTTTGTTGGTCTGCTCAATTGCTGTGCTACTAGATGTTCCTTTGATTACAGCTGTTGCTTTGTGGAAAAGCCCATTAATGCTTTTAAGAGGTTGGAAGAGGCTTTTAGAAGACTTGATTGGCAGAGAAGGACCATTCTTAGAGGCGGTATGTGTTCCATTTGCCGGTCTCACTATCCTCTTATGGCCTCTGGCTGTTATCGGAGCTGTGCTAGGTGCTTTCGTCTCAAGCTTCTTCCTCGCTCTCTACAGCGGAGTTATTGTTCATCAGGTCTGCCATTACTTTGCCTTTTCTTCTCATTTTACTATGTTTTAGTCTCAGTTTTGAAAGGGAGAGAGCTAAATTTCCAGGAAGACTCGCTTCGCCTGGGACTTGCATACGTCATATCAGTGGTTTCAATGTTTGATGAATATGTAAATGATTTGCTTTACTTGAGAGAGGGATCCTGCCTTCCAAGGTACATGGTTTTATGATTTTTTTTTTTTGGTTCTTAGATAATGAAACCAATTTCTCATCATGTCTCACAAGGGAGAATCTATTTTTTGTCCTTTGTTTTTTATAATGAGATTTTCTTGTGACAGCCAGGCCCAAGTATCGTAGACATGTGAGCTCTGGTTCTGTCAGAAAAAGGCTTGATGACAACCGTGACACCGATTCAAAGCATGGGGGAGAAGGCTCACACATGGAAAAACTTGTCTCAGAACGTTCGATAACATTGAAGTGGCAAATTCAACAGTATAAACCAATGCAGGCACGGACATTTAAAGGCTGTACTCTTTTTTTTCTTTTTCTTTTTTGGGTGCGTGTATTTACTTGTTTTTTCAAATTTCAATATCAGGTGTGGGATTGGCTATTTAAATCTTGCGAGGTGAATGGCAGGATACTTATTCACGATGGTCTCGTAATTCTCATGGACATCGAGGAATGCATTCTAACGGGTGATTGCAAGAAGCTGGGCATCAAACTTCCAGCTTGGTCTATATTACAATGTCTGCTTAGATCAGCAAAGTCCGACGCGTCTGGGTTGTTAATCGGTATGTATGTCGAACTTCTGTTCAAAGCTTGCCATACGGTTCTTTGTGATTTGTGATTCTCCCAACTGAATAAATAGCTGATGGCATGGAGTTGACAAGGACAAATGGACCGAGAGATAAGGTGTTCGAGTGGTTCATTGGGCCTTTGATGATCATGAAAGAGCAAATAAAAGTTCTTCAGTTAGACGAGAAGGAAGAAAATTGTCTAAGGGAACTGCTTATGGAATGCAAAAATGAAAAACCTGAGGAGTGGGACGACACTTGCTTCCTGTCGAGTGACAATGTCAGAAGAGCTCAATTGCAAGCTATAATTAGGAGGTAAAACTATAAATGGAAAATAGAAGGTACTCAAACTAGTATATTGCTTGGACCGTAATTTCATTTCTGCAAACTTGTTTTGACCTTCTTATTCACAATATGTCCGTGTTTTCTTCCGCAGTTTGAGTGCACCACTATTCGGTTTTACAACAAGCCAATATAGTTTTCATTGTCTCCATTATGTTCAGATTAAGCCGAGTTTGAATATTGCAGTTTGTCCTTAATTCTCTACATTCAGAATGCGCATTTTTGTTTCAGACTGCAAGGACTTGTAGCTTCCATTTCTCGCATACCAACTTTTAGGCGGCGCTTTAACAATTTGGTGAAGGTGTTATATTTAGAAGCACTTCAGGCCAGTGCTTCAGCCAATAATATTGGAGGATTCCAAGAACCCAGAAATGGTAACAAGAGCTCAGTTCGAAGTGAGGATAGAAAAGATGGAGACACAACCGAGGAAATGGAAGCCGAGTACAGTACAGATGAAATTGGTAATATAGTATGATAAAGAACTAGTTTTTATTTTTTTAATTATGGAATACCATGTTTTTATGTCGTTTGTTTGAGAAAAAAGGCTCTCAATTTGGTCACAGGAGCACTTCTAAACGAGACTTGGGATTTATGTTTGTAGTTAGTACACGGAATAGATATGTAATTGTGAATAGGGGGAGGATGCAGATAACAGAGCAACCTGTATAGGTGATATGTAAACGGAATAGGTTTTTATTTTTTTTTTCTCTCTCTCTTCGAAGCACTTCCTTTTCCGTTTGGGTAAGACTCGCTTCGTTTCTTAAGCGTCAAGTTACGGGACTATCCTAAAGAATAGGGCCTTTTGAAGGATATAGATCAAGTTTTCTTACTTGCTAATGTTTGCATAGGCATGCACGCATTTTCTTATAAGCTAAGTAGCTGTGGGGTCCGCATGGAGCGAGCTCTGCAAGAGATACAATGGCCTCCACTGAGGATTCTCGACGTTTAGAACCACCTTGCATCTCTTTACATGCTATGGATGCAAACATGATTTACCAGACCAAGATGAGCTACTATTAGATCCCTCCAATTTATAATATCTCTTTTCTTGTTGTGCAAGTAAATCCCTCCCTGGCAATCCATACTTCCACCAGAACAAGTTTTGATGAACTTTGAAATAGGTGATTAGATATTTTGTTTTCTTGGGGTTGATCCACTTGTACTGTCAAATTATGGGGTTGGTTTATTACATAAACGATGTGATAAGAGCTGAACCAAACGGTGAAACAAAATCAAGAAAGATCGGAAAATGAAGAAAAGAATCAACTAGAGAGCTTTATTGATATCAACACATGTACACCAATTCGCAGAACTTCGAAGGTCTGCTTCCTCCCCTTACTTGGAATGTATCTAAGATTTGTGCAATTCACTAATTATTTCCCGATCCCCTTTACTATCCCTCTTGCCCCCTTTTTATACACTTTTCATCTAACAAACTTTCTCAGTAAGCTACTAACTAATATTAACACTTCCACAGCAAGCTATAGACAGCCTTCCCAAACCAGACCCCCTCTTCCTAAATCCGTTTATTCCTCCTAACATACACCTGCCTGAGTAGAGGCTTATCACAATGCTTGGGCACCCTTGGTGTTGAGCACTAAAACTAAGAGAGAGTGGGATTCACATGTGCAGGACCCATTTTTTATTAGTGTGCAACTATGAACTCTACTACGTTGTTGGAGAATTTGAGTATAGAGGGTGAAAAGAATGCAGAAAGCAAGAGGGTTTGAGGCGTATAAAAATACTTTCTTTTAAGGTTTTATTTGCACTCACTTCTAAAAGTTTGCTAATGAGTTTCTAATATAAATTATTCTCAAGATATAACAAACTCTTCAACACAATATCTAGCAATGATATTGTGTTTCAAAACATGATTAAGTCTCTAAATTTTTTGGAGAATTAATAAAGACATATGTGTCATTTTATGAATAAACACATCTTCTTTAAAACATCACAACTATTTACATAAAGGTACATTTTCATTGTAAAGGTATCTCCTCATGTATTAATGCATCTATTATAATAGATATGTCTATTGCTAATATGTATTTAGAAATGTATTAAAACATATCACTAATGGTTGTAACAATTTGAATTACAAATCACACACTCGCACTTTTTCTTTCTAGAGTGCTACAGCAGATGAAAAAATCCGCGGCGGGTTTGCCAGAGACGACTCACTGGCAGCAGCAAAGGGCGCGTTGCAGCGGGACAACCGCGCGCAGGCTGGCGCTGCAGTGCCTATGGCTGTGCAGACAGCACCTGTTTGGTGCTGTCTCGCAGGCTGCAGTGCATTTAATGCGCTGCGGCGCTTATGCAGTCTTAAATGCTTCCATTTGCATTTTAATGGTTTAAAAATGTGTGACTTGTTATGAGAGACAGATTACAATCTCTTTAACATACACTAGTGTCTTTTAGCATTGTTCTATAAAGAAAAATTCATAGGGTGCCGGTTGTGTCATGAACACTGCAACTAATAGAAGTGGCAATTTGTCTAGAACATGTTTTCAGACACATTTTTCTATCGATGAATGGTGCTGGATACCACTATACCCTTAGGAATAGAAATGACGACAATTGCGCTCGATTCTAACATGAAATCAAGGAAACTTCTCAGACCATATATTGAACTTGGCACTAGTTGAAAACATTAGGTCTTAAAAGTCCATATATATATGAGCTCTAAGGACTTAGGACTATATGAATATGTGGCCTAATATTAATAGTTTGACTTAGCCAAGTCTTTTGACAGTGACACAAAATAATGTATTTATAACTCCCACATTGTCTATTGTGGATTTGTAGGCGTGCATGGGTGAGAGTCAACGTGGCTTTTTTTTTTTTTTTTTTTTTTTTTTCTGTGGGGGGGGGTCAGGTGGTTTTTTTTTTTTTTTTTTTTTTTTTTTTTGCCTCAAAACACAATAAGTTAAATTCTTTTGGCTATAAAAGTCAGAATAGGGTGGCTGCTTCATTCCAATTCGATCCACAAAAAGTTGCTATTGTTTTCTCTAAAATACATGTCTTCAGTGGTATTTTGTTTGTACTTGATAAGGATATAAAAGTATCCACCACGTGCACTTGTAAACTTTGGTATTATAATTTTAGGTGTGACAAGGACCTATTGATATGGATATGGATTATGCCAAGTCAAATTTCACTTCTTAGACCAAGTTTGAACTTAACCTAGTTTTTTTTCTTTTTTTGATGGATTAACCTAGTTTTGTTTCTTTTCCCACATATACTAAAATAAGAGAAAATTGCTTAACTTACCTATAAAATGTATGGGTCTGGACCCTATTGACTAATATAATTATTTAACTAAAAATGATATTAATCAGGAAAAACTCAGGTAAATTGATGTTTTTTTACCACCTTTTTAAATATGAGATCTTCTTGGGTACACTAACATACCGGTAAGTCAACTATTGACTAATATAATTATTTAACTAAAAATGATATTAATCAGGAAAAATTCAGGTAAATTGATGTTTTTTTACCACCTTTTTAAATATGAGATCTTCTTGGGTACACTAACATACCGGTAAGTCAGGTTTTCTAACTGTTGGATCAATATAAAATCACGTAAAAGTCAAAAAGTACACACGTCTAACGGTTAGAAAAACTTGACTTACCGGTACACTGGCATACCAAATAATCTCCCTTTAAAAAGATGGCCGAAATTTTATTTTTTAAATAAATAGCCAAACTTTTTTATTTTAGCAAAATGATTTTTTTTCCAATAGTCAATTAGTGACTGACTTATATTATTATAATTAACAATAATTTATCGTTAATAAACACTTAATTTGTTGATTGAAATTGATAAAATTACAAATTGGTTTCAGTTAATTATTAGTTTATATTGATTAATAATAAAAAATTATCGAGTTAATCAATGATAAATTTAAATCAATCAGTATTGATGTTAAAGCAATCAATGATAAACTAGTCAATAGTGATTGACTTCTAAATTAATCAATGATTAATCACTAAGTTAATAAAAAAATAGATATTTTGCTAATTTTACAAAACTTCAAACCTTTTAAAAAAAAAAAAAATCCTTATAGACAAGACCATATATGCTCTTATCTCAAAATTAAGAGTAAGGGATAAATCTATACGCTATAAAGATTAGTTGTCTCCGTTTTTCTTAAAATAACTATCTAGTCAAATACAATGTCTAGCTTTTTTTTTAGTGGAAAGATATACCACTGCATTATGTTCTACGATATTTATAAAATAAAAATAAATAAATAAATAAGAAAACAAACTCACTTTTTTAGCAATTTGGGCCAAATCAAATTGCAAACGAAATGATTTTTCTAGAAATATTCTAACGTCTAACGCCGTCGTACACACAAAGACAAAACCGTGTCTGCTAATATTGTTTTTCCATGGATTTTCTCACTTCAGCTTAGAAAAGTAAGAAAATAGCAAATACAACCTCCACAAAATCATGGGATTCATATATATTGTCGTTTCTTTTCTGTTAATCTATTTGTGCAAAAATAGACATCGAGAAAATGAAAATACATGTGACAATCTTTCTTTCCATTGGTTTTTTTATTAGAAAAAATAAATAAATAAATAAAACTGAAAGTGGTTTCTGAACAGCTGTGTATACAAGACAATATCTAAAGCAAACTTTTCCTCCAAGACCCTTTTGTTTCGGATGGCTAATAATCTACAGCCTCAAGGCATGAGATTTTATCTCTGCATATGTAACAAACTCTAATCTCTCTCTCCATCTTTTGTTGATCTCTTTCTTTCTGTTATTCTTTTTTATCTCTCAGGAAAATCCCTTTTTCCTTCTTGAAGCCTTTTTCTCTGCAACATTCAAAAGGGTCCAAAAATCTTTCATTTGGTGGTACATTTCACGAGCTAACGTGAGAGGTTTTCCCTACCAATTTAATGCACAAATGAATTTTGTTCTTTCTAGCCAAGTAGTTTAAATATTTATTGTCCCTTACTATCCAAGAAAAAGGCTTTGGAATTAAGAAACGATGTCGTTTCGGACGATAAGAGCTCAATCGTTGAATCAGCCACCACCATTGGCGGAGAAGATCACAGAAGAGCCCGTCACGTTAAGAACGGCTCAAAGCACGGTGACATGCGTGTACATGGCGAATATTTCGGGGTTTTGGCGAAAAGTGACCGTTACTTGGTGCAAAAATCTCATGAACCATTTCTTCAGCATAACTGTCCATAGCCTAGAAGGAGATTTCCATTGCTCATGCAAGATTGACCTCAAGCCATGGCACTTTTGGAGCAAAAAAGGGTACAAATCGTTTGAGGTGGACGGCAACACCGTCGAGGTTTTCTGGGACATTCGGTCGGCGAAATTCTCCACAGGGCCCGAGCCCTGCTCCGACTTTTATGTTGCTCTTGTTTGCGATGAGGAGGTGGTTTTGTTGATAGGTGACATCAAGAAAAAGGCCTACAAAAGGACTAAATCAAGGCCTGCACTTGTTGAGGCCATCATGTTTTACAAGAAGGAGAATGTCTTTGCCAAGAGATGTTTTTCGACAAGGGCTAGGCTTGATGAGAGGAAGAAGGAGTGTGACATAGTTGTGGAGAGCTCAACCTCAGGGCCACGAGACCCCGAAATGTGGATTAGTGTTGATGGGATTGTGTTGATTCATGTCAAGAATCTGCAGTGGAAGTTTAGAGGGAACCAAACAGTTTTGGTGAACAATCAGTATGTCCAAGTATTTTGGGATGTCCATGATTGGCTGTTCGGGAGCCCGGGGAACGGCCGCGGATTGTTCATCTTCAAGCCGGGGTTCACAGAGCCAGAGAGCGAGAAGGAAGGGAGTGAAAATGGGAGCGTGTACCACTCGACAATAAGCAATTCGAGTTCTCAAGAGTTCTGCCTTTTTCTTCATGCTTGGAAGATTGAGTGAGTGAGGATTGTTGTGGTTTATGTTGTGTTGTGCCATTTTGCTTGCACAAAAGTTGTTGAAAAAGCAAAGTGTGTTTGTTGGGTTTAAACCCTTATGTAATTTGCTAAGGATGGTTAAATTGTTTATGGGGTTTAAACCCTTTTGTAACCATAAAGAATGGTCAAATGTTTCATTCATTTTAACTAAATGATGAGAGCTATTGCATGGCTATGTTCATCATTTAGTTTTGCTTCACTCTTTTTTTTTTTGCCTTTGGCTTTCCTTGATTTGGTTCTGAATATGCGTTTAGGAACAATTTCAATCCTAGTCTACCTTATGATATGTCTTTATTTGTGGCATATAAACACCAAATGTTCTTTCCTTATAAAGTTTTTTTTTTAAAGAAAAAAATATCAAAATACAAAGTTTAAAGTCAGGGACTTAAGTGCCAAGAAACTTAAATTTGATTTTTTTTTATTTGTGGCATATAAACACCAAATGTTCTTTCCTTATAAAGTTTTTTTTTTTAAAGAAAAAAAAATCAAAATACAAAGTTTAAAGTCAGGGACTTAAGTGCCAAGAAACTTAAATTTGATTTTTTTTTTAAATTCAAGAAAGAAAGGAGACGTACAAAGCAATCTTTTTGTACGTATTTGACCGAAAAAATTAAAATTTTAAGATTAAAGACCAAAGTGTTAAAAGCTCTAAAGTTAGGGATCTGTGGCGTAAATTTGCCTAAATTACGTGAACTATACGACGGCAAAATGTACATTATTTAGGCTTCATACGTTTCGTTTTTATCTTTTTAACTTGATGACAAACGTGTCGTTCCAGTACACAAAACGACATGTCGTTTATCAGAGCATCTGTTTCTTCCATTTCCATTTTATTCTGCTTTTGGAGTTTCGAATGACAATTTCCCAGAGCATTTGGAACTCGCTAGTAACTTGGGAGAGAGAGAGAGAGAAAGACAGAGAAGAGAGAGAAACTTGCAAAGAAGAGAAGGAGAAATGAAAGTGGCCCCAATTACAGTCTTCCTCTTCAGAGACTCGGAGGGCTTCGGTACAGCCATTTCAGAGGCCTTCCATCTAAACCCCAATAACCCATCTTCTCTTCGCTCACTGTAAGCTCATTCTTGACCCCAGTTTACCTTTGTTTTTTCTTTTTGGGTATTTTTCTCTTCCGTTTTTGATTGAATTTGAGTCAATTTTTGGTACAGAGAGGAACCCTTTGAGCTGTCATTGGAGCGCTATGGAATCAAAGATAGAGTTTCTGGAAACATCCTTCACTTTGTTGATCATCAGGGTCTCCATCAGGTTCTTTTAATAATCTTTTTTTTAATTTTTTTTTCTTTAAAAGACCCAAATTTAGTTGTAAATTGTAATGAGCGTGTTTTGATAGTTTGCAATTGATTCTCAATCTGAGCTTTTTTAGAAGCCCATCTTGGAATGGCAATTTATTGGTTTAGTGGGAATTTTTCATCAACTACTATAGAAGAATTTCACTAACTTGACCTTTTGAATTGTGTGTAGTACATAATACACTTTAAAAATGACTTTAGATATAACAACTTTCCCAATAAGATCTTGATCAAATGACCAGTTATGACTAAGTTTTAACCTTGTTTGTCAAAAGGATATTCTGGAAGAAAAAGAAAAGACTTTGTTCTATGTATGCAATGTGGTCTAAATGTGTGTCTCAAAATCATGTAACTGCCTATTTTCTGTTTTCTTTTTTTTTTTTTTAAATTTGTTTAACTCCATTGTTCCTGATTAAAGAACTTAGACTGGGGGTAGACTAGTATTGCTTAAATCATATAGTTTTATGTAGAAGATTAAAATGTAGTGGCATTCTTTCGTGAATTTTCTATCTTTATTCTCAGGTGTCATTTTTGCTTATACAACATTATGAACCTCCAATTCTGGCATGTGCTGTTGCTGAAGTTCTAGAGCAAATAACCAGAGAAAAATCATCGCCATTGCCAACAATCATAGCCCCATTTATCGTGCCATCGTCAAAGCTTAAACAGAATGGTAAAACATTGACGAAAAGTGAGAACAAGATTCCAGTTTATGGTTTACAGGTTGGCCCGGTAACTGACACGACCAAGGCCCTGGCTGCCAGAGTTGAGGAGCCATCATGCTCGTTTCAGGTTCATCATGAACCTTTAGCCTGTTTGCTTCAGTTGGCCCGCATCTCGAACTTGCCAACTTTTCTTCTTATCTGGGAAAAAGGTCGACGCTTTTCTGATAAAAATGCAGAAGAATTAGAGGTGCTTATTATCTTATCATGTTTCATTTTTCACTTTGCCTGAAAATATGGAGACTATAATATTGATTTAGAAGTTTTGTGGCATAAGTAGAAATCTGGAGACTAATTGATTTAGAAACTTTTGTGGCATAACTAGATATCTTTTTATGAACCCCAAGAGTTTGGCTCAGTGGTGAATCACTTGGACTTAGTGACTCAAGTAGCATTAGGTATAAGGTTCGATTCTCATTGACTGCTATCAATTCCTTGGGGCAACACCCTTGGTCAAAGGCCTGAGATTTACCCAATCCATGTGGAGAGGGCACTTTACAAGGATCCCATGGATTAGTCGGGGCAAAGTCTCGGGCACCACCGTTATCAAACAATAAAAACTACAAAGTTTTTCTCATGAACATGCTTGTTACATGAATTAGGAAAGATCTACATTCCTACAATATCCATTCTGCTACCTCTAAAGTTCTTGTATATTGACGTATTATCTAATTCTTTTCATGGTATTCAATCCAGATAATTAGTGAAATAGGAGAAATTTTGTCAAGCACTCTCAACCTTTGCTTTTCAAAAGAAGGAATCGAGTGGAATCCCAAAGGTACATCAAAGAATATTGTGGAGCCATGGCGCGCCCTATATGGTTGAATGCAACAATTCTGTAGCATAGAAATGTTGCTCGTAACGGTGTAATGCGTCAGATTAACAGAATTTGGAGCCAATATTTCTTCTTTATTATTTGCAATGCTTTAAGTTTTCCTCTGTTGTAATTTCTGTTGTAAACCTGCAATAGAGATAGTGCTATAACTGTTTTATTGGCATTTCTTTATTGCATTCAGGTGAGAGGAGATTTGTTACCAAGGACTCGGAGATGAGTAAATGGGATTCTATTATAATATATTTTCCTTTTTCACACTATTAGAAAACAGTTTATTTGGCCATTTTAACAATTTATGGCTTGTATTTTTATTGAAAGTTGCTTTTTAATTTAATTTAATCTGGCGATAGAAGCCTACATGTTTTGAAGATTGTTCACAAGAACATAGCAGCTACAGATACTGGAACTGTTCTAGTGCATGTGCTAAATGCCATGCTAATTACAGCATAATTAGCATAAAACCTAATCTTAGTATAATTATTTCTCCACTGTTAAATTTTAGAATTTCAAATGACATTACTTTACTGTCATCAATTGAAATCTAAACTGGAACGGCTTGTTTATAAGTTCTATTTTGATCAATAATTGCCGATGCAAAAAAGTGGGAAGATCTGATGTTTTTTATTTTTTATTTTTTATTTTTTTACTCTATTCTCACTACTGTGTTTTTCTAAAGTCAATTTGAGAGTTCTAGAGAGAGAAAGTTAGAGAGAGGTGCTTTGCAACAAGCTTAGAGGAGTTCTCTGGGGTCGGTGATCCGGCTATTCGTCAAGCTGCTGGCCTCCAAAGTTTGTCGAAGAGATCGCAGAAGTCACCGGCATCGAGTTCGTTTTGATGGAAGTGTGGATAGTCCATAAAATGGAGTTCTTTACGGGGAAGCAGTTTTTGGTCTTCTACTTTAGATCTAGGACGCATTCGCCGTGAGATTCCGTTGAAACTCCGGGAACTAGATCGTGGAAGGGAGGCGAGGAAGGTGGTTCGGAGCGTATGGCAGTCGCCGCTCGTGGCAGCGGCGCGTGGGTCTCATGCACTGCCGTGTCTCTGGTGCTTTTGTTGTCATTTTAGGAGCTTTTCTTTGACACCACTTCTACCGTGTTTCACACACACCTCCGGCGTTGAAGGGCTCGATTTTATTGGTTTGATTTCTTGGGATCTTTGTAGAGTTTTTTTATTATGTTTTATGTTTTTATTTTTGTTGTAATAACAGTGATGGTGTCCTCATCTATAGGCGTTAGGTCTTGGCTAGAGGATGGTCTCCCTACCGCTCTAAGTTGGAGTTATGTAGTTCATTTTGGGACTGAGATGTAGTTCATCTAGAGTCATTTCAAAGTAGTTGAATCCTATTATAGTGCCACTAGTTAGAGGAGTTCTCTCCGTTATTAAGTAAAGGGTGCGTTTATATTGTCTAGCCATGTGAGTAACACCCTATTCTTAATTTTAGTTTTGTCCGTATCTTAGCCTTTTAGTGGCTTTTTAATGAAGTTATGTTATTGTCTTTCAAAAAAAAATCCTCAATTTGCTATTTTCGCTTTTTTATTTCTTCACACTCAATTACAAGTCGTCAAAGGTGTTTTTTTTTTTTTTTTCTTTGGATTCTAGGTTATCTTTGGATTCTAGGGTTATGTTATACTTGATTTTGTCGTCAAGTATTTAAAAAAAATTATTTTTTTTGGATTCTAGGGTTATGTTATACGTGATTTTAGGGGATGTCAATGGTATATTTTCACCGTACCGGTAGGGAGCCATCTAAAGGCTCCCATTAATAGTGTGTTTAGTATAATAGTGTGTTTAATATGAATGAAAAGTGAAAGGAAAGAAAATGTTATGAAAATAGGTAAGTTAGTGTGTTTGGTAAAAAGAAAATTAGGAAGGAAAAAAAATTAAATGAAAATTGTGATTGGTAGGTCCCACCATATTTAATCTCTCTAAAAGTGGGAGGATTTTATGAAAAAAAATGTAGATAACTATCTAAATGAAATAAAATTACTGAATTGTCCTCATTTTTCATCCAAAATTGGCTCCAAAAGTTGGCGCTTTTTTTTGCTAGAAAGAAGAGATAAATTGTGCTTTCTCTCTCCACTCAACACACCTTTCACTCAGCACACCTTTCACACGGAAAAAACTTCCTTCCATATATATGTATGTGTGTGCATATATATACATAATATAAGTTAAACTATATTTTTGGCTTGTTTATAAGTTCTATTTTGATCAATAATTGCCGATGCAAAAAAGTGGGAAGATCTGATGTTTTTTATTTTTTATTTTTTATTTTTTTACTCTATTCTCACTACTGTGTTTTTCTAAAGTCAATTTGAGAGTTCTAGAGAGAGAAAAAGTTAGAGAGAGGTGCTTTGCAACAAGTTTAGAGGAGTTCTCTGGGGTCGGTGATCCGGCTATTCGTCAAGCTGCTGGCCTCCAAAGTTTGTCGAAGAGATCGCAGAAGTCACCGGCATCGAGTTCGTTTTGATGGAAGTGTGGATAGTCCATAAAATGGAGTTCTTTACGGGGAAGTAGTTTCTGGTCTTCTACTTTAGATCTAGGACACATTCGCCGTGAGATTCCGTTGAAACTCTGGGAACTAGATCGTGGAAGGGAGGCGAGGAAGGTGGTTCGGAGCGTATGGCAGTCGCCGCTCGTGGCGGCGGCGCGTGGGTCTCATGCACTGCCGTGTCTCTGGTGCTTTTGTTGTCATTTTAGGAGCTTTTCTCTGACACCACTTCTACAGTGTTTCACACACACCTCCGGCGTTGAGGGGCTCGATTTTATTGGTTTGATTTTTTGGGATCTTTGTAGAGTTTTTTTATTATGTTTTATGTTTTTATTTTTGTTGTAATAACAGTGATGGTGTCCTCATCTATAGGCGTTAGGTCTTGGCTAGAGGATGGTCTCCCTACCGCTCTAAGTTTGAGTTCTGTAGTTCATTTTGGGACTGAGATGTAGTTCATCTAGAGTCATTTCAAAGTAGTTGAATCTTATTATAGTGCCACTAGTTAGAGGAGTTCTCTCCATTATTAAGTAAAGAGTGTGTTTATATTGTCTAGCCATGTGAATAGCACCATATTCTTAATTTTAGTTTTGTCCGGTATCTTAGCCTTTTAGTGACTTTTTAGTGAAGTTATGTTATTGTCTTTCAAAAAAAAAATCATCAATTTGCTATTTTCGCTTTTTTATTTCTTCACACTCAATTACAAGTCGTCAAAGGTGTTTTTTTTTTTTTTCTTTGGATTCTAGGGTTATGTTATACTTGATTTTGTCGTCAAGTATTTAAAAAAAATTATTTTTTTTGGATTCTAGGGTTATGTTATACGTGATTTTAGGGGATGTCAATGGTATATTTTCACCGTACCGGTAGGGAGCCATCTAAAGGCTCCCATTAATAGTGTGTTTAGTATAATAGTGTGTTTAATATGAATGAAAAGTGAAAGGAAAGAAAATGTTATGAAAATAGGTAAGTTAGTGTGTTTGGTAAAAAGAAAATTAGGAAGGAAAAAAAATTAAATGAAAATTGTGATTGGTAGGTCCCACCATATTTAATATCTTTAAAAGTGAGAGGATTTTATGAAGAAAAATGTAGATAACTATCTAAAATCAAATTACTGAATTGTCCTCATTTTTCATCCAAAATTGGCTCCAAAAGTTGGCGCTTTTTTTTGCTAGAAAGAAGAAATAAATTGTGCTTTCTCTCTCCACTCAACACACCTTTCACTCAGCACACCTTTCACACACCTTTCACACGGAAAAAACTTCCTTCCATATATATGTATGTGTCTGCATATATATACATAATATAAGTTAAATTATATTTTTGTACCTTTATATAGGTATGTCTGTGTAAATATACATAATATAGATGGAATATATGTTTAAGTTAAATGAATTTTTTAAGTTAATTTGATATTGAATATTGTATTATTTATATTTTTATTAGAAAATAATATTAATAAAAAAATATTTGGGTAATAAAGTAATTATACTAATAATAATTTTTTCATCTCTTTAGTTTCACTTCTAATATCAAACAAGAGAAGATAGATTCATTTTCTTTATTTCCTATCATACTAAACAAGTCAAAAGAAAATAAAAATCTTTTTTATCTTTCTAATTTTTTATGCATTATAATTTTCCCTACCATTTTCTTTCTATCTTATCAAACAGAGTGTAAATCTCAATCTATGTATTCCCTCCCACAAACAAAATCAATATAATTATAAAAACGACCATTTTATTTATTAAAATACAATTTCTCACCCCATATTTTATATAATAAGGAAAATACTATTTTTTCCAGAAATTGCTAATAAAACAAATCTTATATTTTTTTAAAATGATTGTACGCGTTATTTTTTTTCCTTAAGAATAAGGATTTTTTGAAAAATATATCTGAGAATAATGTTTTTTTTTTCTTTTTAAGATCACAATTGCCATTCATACAAATGTCAGATCGGATTTTTCAGCAAAAAAAATCAGATCACAATTTACTCATAAAAAATGAGATCATGATATATATAGAAAAAATACGGTCTCCTAATTCAGATTAAGCATGATAAAATCGTATCAGAATTTGATCAATAAAAAAATGTACATCAGAATTCGTATTTAGTAATTATCTCCTAATTCACGTCAAGCTAGTTGTTGTTCAGAGATAATCACTTGCATAAAAAAAAATAACATGCCGAAAACTCAACAGATCCGAAGAGCATCATCGTATGCAGAAGAAATCAAAAGCAGATGCAACTCGCACAAGTCATAGTAGAAGAAAAATAAATCCTACATGAATATGTTGGATAATAATCTGATAATTTCACAAAACCTAACGACGGTGCTAGGGGGCTCATGGCCTCCCTAGCTTTTTTTTTTCTCTTTTTTTTTAATATAATAATTTTAATTTTAATATAATAAATATGTATATAAATTAGACTTAATTTCTTATAAATTAATTATTCTTTACGTTTTATTAAATTAATTATTTAAATTTTAAAAAATAAAATATTTAATTTTATTAATTCCATAAATATTAATATAATCTTGATAAAAAAGAATTTGGCCCGATAAATTCTGGCTCTACAAAACCCAAAAAAAATTACACCAATAATCTGATAAATCTGACATAAATGACAAAAAAAATCTGAGACACAACTGAAACAAAATCACAGACAAATCCTAGATCAATCTTGCACAACTCCAACGAAAGGAAAAAAATAAAAATTTAATTTTATTAATTCCATAAATATTAATATAATCTTGATAAAAAAGAATTTGGCCCGATAAATTCT